CAGCTTAAACTAGAGGAGTGAAATCTTATTACAATATTTTTCTCTTTTTCTTTTTTCAAATTGACCCAAACCATGACTCCAATTGTGTTCCTGCATCCCAAGCACATATAATATAACACTTTTCAACTCCTAAGACATTCAAAAAGGGTAGGATTTTTTTTTTTGGGGTTAAGAGGGAAAAAAATATGAAGGCTCAAAGGGGTTAAGCAAAGGATAAGTGCATGAAAAGGGTGGGCTTTTGGCTTATCTGGCTAGAAAAATTAAAATGAATGCCTTTATCATCTTTATGACTGCAAATGCATAGACATGGTCTCAAACAAGATTCAAGTCAAGTTCTAGATTGAGAAAAGAGATAGGAGTATACACACATGAAATGAAGACACGTATCAGGCTCAAAACCTCACTAGGTACATGATTGCTAGCTTGAATTCACCTAAGTCAAATCCATTGCCACTTAGCTTATCCGCTCAAAACATGATCAATCACTTTTCAAATCAAGAATGCATCATACTTGAATCACTTCAAACTTGCAATCTTCACATTCAGAATAAAACAAACAAAAAAAATTTTTTGAACAGAAAATTTCTTTCTTTTCTTGAAAATAAGAAACAAAAACCAAAGTAAAAACCAAAATATTTTTCTTTTCCTCATTTTAAAAACAAAAAATAAAAACCAAAAGTAGGAACAAAATCCCTCCCCCACACTTAAACCACGCATTGTCCTCAATTGTGAAATGCACATCTAACCAATACCAACAAGTAACGCAAGTAAAAGAGAAAGGAAGGAATACGACCAGATGAGTAGAAGTTTGAAGACCTAAATGAAGCAGTAGAGTTGGCATATCTCCTTTGTCTGGTGGCAAGTCACATGAAAGCACCATTGGTATTTGCTTTTGATGTTCAAAAGACATTATCTCCTTCTTTAAGATCCTCAAAAAAACGCTTTAATTCAAGTATGGAAGGTGTCTGGATAGGAGGAATCAATTCATATACCTGCACAAAACCATGACTCCAAGCAATATCCTGTCTCGTAAAAATATAATCAATAAACTCAACAAACTTTTTAGCAATTAAGGAAGATCCCAAAATAAATTGATGAAAACAAAGACTTGGAACTCCCAAATATTTTGAACAACCCACAAAATCAATATGACTCTCCTCAGTAAGAGTCAAGTTTGTTAGAGAATGAAGTGACAGGTGATTGCTCAAAATGGTCTCCCCATGCTCATCATCATCATTACACAAAGCAAATCCTACATGTGAAGTCTGATCAAGCAACATGTCCTTACTGTTTAAGTGCACATCCAACTCAAGATTTCCCCCACACTTATCCTCAACAACATCCTCATTAACAACAGTCATGTTAAGATCACAAGTGATGTCAGCAGAATCAAAAGAAATACTACTTTTACCATGCAAAGCATCAATACACAAAGGAGCATCAGCACTCAGAGATGATACATTATCTTTGGACTCAACAGTGTATGGGGGGTCAATAATAATCTCTTCATCACTTTCATCATCAGACTCATCTTGCTTAAAATTCTCTATTGACCCAACAAAATCAATAGAATTTGAATCAGAGGTGTAGGAAGAAGTATCAACACATGAATTGCAAGATGCAACATTATTTGACTCAATAGAACCAGTCAATCTAGAAACATCATCAGTGCATGCATATTCGGTTACTGTACTATTTATGTCATCATGTGAGATGGTAGGAGCAAAGGGATATGGATCATTGGAGGGTGAAAATGTGCTATCATATGATAATTCACCATTTGTTTCCAATTCTCCACTTTCCAAGTCGCTAATTGCATTAGACAACTGTTGAATTTGAGTTTGTAGAGTCTGAATCGCTTGATTGTGTCGCAATTCCCTTTCTTCAAACTTGTTTAGTAGGATTTGCATCATAGTCTCCAGCTTGTTCTCTAACTTTAAGTCTTCTTGAATAGGCATAACTTGATGGACATATCCAAGATTTGAGTAATCTTGCCACATTGGAATATTAGTCATAGTCTCCAACATACTCTCTATTCTTGAATATGGATCATATCCCTGTGTCACATCATGGACATAATGATAAGGCATAGAAATATAAGAATGATTTTCATAAGGAGAAGCATTCCAAGCCATCATAAATTTAAGATAAAAAACATCAACACAAATAAAAGAAAAAGAAAAACTAAACTAGCCAAAGAAGGCTGATAAAAATCCAGAAAAATTAAAGAAGAAAAACCTGAAAAATTGAAAAAAAAAGTAAATTAAAAAAAAAAAAGAAAACTCAATGAAAATGGTTGAATTTGGCTAAAACAACCCAGCCCTGATACCTAAAGGTATCAAAATTGATCAGCACACCCAAAAACGTTAAGAACCCGAATTTTACAAAAATCTGGGCAGTGAAAAGTTAATTTTCAGAGCAGGATGAATTAGCAATATCAACCGAAAATAGAACAGGTAAAGGGGAAAATAAAATGCAAAGGAAAAAAAATGCAGGAAAAATAAGAGAAATCACCTAGAACTCAAACCTAAAGTCTAACCATTGCTCCCCGGCAACGGCGCCAAAATTGATGATGCCTCTGTCGTTAAAGCACTCAATTAACTAGGTCCCAACTAATTTGTAGTTTAGGGTCGACCTAGGTCATTACTTCCAAGGAGCAAGTTATGGGTTTCTTTAGGTAAAAATTCAAGTGATAAAAAAATGCAATAAATTGGACCTAAACTAAAATGCAAAATTCTAATTCTAAATGGAAAATGCAAATATCCTAAAATCTATATGAAAATTAAATTAAACTAAATAAATGCAATGCAAATTTTTGGGGGGTTTTTTGAAGGAAAATAAAAATAATGAATAAAGAAAATTAATCAGAAAGTAAAGAGAATTAACAAGTAAAAATTCAGAGATTTCTCTTCAGGTACGGTAGAGGGGACAACTTAGGATTTGCATGGATTTAACCTTCATAACCTCAATCAGTTAATTAAACCAAAGGGAAGTGATAAGAGAGTGGAATTAATAAACTTAATTACCTACTTGAAATAAAGGGAACCCTTAACCTCAAAAACCCTTAAACCATTAGAGAACTCATAACAGTATAAGGTTGGTCAATTAAGCTTATTAAAACCAATGAAGATATCTCAAATTAATTCTGGAAATTATGTTTGAAATCATCCAGTTAAACAACTAGACAATTAACCAACTTAATTAAACAATTAAGAGGCAAAAGAACCCAAATTTTGCAATTCAAACCACATTGATAATTAAACTCATAATGAAAACTCAATTATAAATTCAATTAACAATGCAAAGGTTCCAAACATATATTCCAACAAGTATCTTGGCACAAATAAGATCCAAATATCAATTTAATCCAAGAATAAAATTGACAATTTAGAACTAAATTGTCTCAACAAAATTACAACTTGAACTCATTTAAAACTAAACAATTCCAAGTCCTTGAATTAAAAAGATAAATGAAACATCACTTCCTTATGGTCTTCAAGTGCTAGCCCAAGGCTCTAGTCTTTTCCATGCTCCTCCCAAGTTGCCTCCCAAATAAGCTTAAGCTTCCATGGTATTATCTCCTCCTCCAAGCTCCTTAGCGCAATTCATGGGCATGTGATGCAGTGTGATGATTCAAGTTAAGAGATCAATTGATTGAATGGATGATGATGGAATATGGTAATAATAGTAGCTGGAAGTCAAGGACGTGTTGCTCTCTTGTGACCGTGGAATGAAGGAGGAGATTTTGACATCCCATTCCCTTTCGTGCGTTGAATGGAGAAGGATAAAAAGGTATGATTTGGCGGTGGATTGTCCTCTCAAATAAGGAAAATATTTTGATGGGGAAAGGAAATTTTTATGAATCTAAAGCTCAAGCCCATTAGTAATTAATTGGCCCACTTGATATTAGCTATTGGATTGTGCTTAAATCCCAAGAAATAATCTTGCACCATTGGATTTCCTATGTGCCCTTTCTTGATCTACAAGAATTTAAGTGCATCTATTAATGTAGATTATGTCCAAGTATAATCAAAAATAAAATATTAAATCTGCACAAAGATTAGGTAAGAAATTGCAAAACTTTCTAAAAGTAACCTTTCTAAAAATATGAGACTTGTTTTCAAAGAAATAGAAAAAATTAATTCCAAGTCAAAAATAGGAAATCCCAAAATAATTATATTTTTAATCTAAAATCTCAATTTTTATGCAAAATCCAAAAATCAACCAATTTATCCAATAATGCATAAAAAGTTCATTTAAGCTCAAAATTATCATTTAAATTCTAATTTAATGTGGGATAAAATGTATAAAAATTGGGCTTTATCAGACACTAAGAGAAATTTTTTTTATATCGATGTACAATTTTACGTTTCATTTATTATTGTGTTAACTTTGTTTGCATGAGATATAATACATATTAAATAGGAATAAAATAAGAAAGTTGTTGAATTTTAAATGAAAATTAATGAAGTTAAGTTTTTTCTTGGTCTGTGTAAAACATATTGGATGTGACTTATAAATAGAATCAGAAGAGTATATATATGTGTATTATGCCTAGAATGGATATGCTTACTTGAAAAGTACACATATACATTGGTTTGGTTGGAACTGAACGTACTACTCTGGAGTCACTGCAATTCGATTTCACTACAATTGAAGCTGCAACAAACAGGTTTTCAGTTCAGAACAGGATAAGTCAAGGAGGATTTGGAGAAGTTTACAAAGCGAGAAATTATTTTATATCCATAATGCAAATGTTAACATCTTTTTAACAGTTACCTATAGTACCCAGTACTAATGACTAGTCCATATTTGAGTAACGCTGCAAATGCTAATTTTTTACTTATGCATGATCTCAGGGTACTCTTTCTAATGGACAGAAAATTGCTGTGAAGAGACTCTCCGCGAGCTCCGAACAAGGCACCCTGGGATTTAAGAATGAGATTTTACTAATGGCTAAACTTCAACATAGAAATCTAGTGACATTGTTGGGATTTGCTTACAAGAGCATAAGAAGATACTCGTTTGCGAATTTGCACCCCACAAAAGCCTCGACTACTTTCTCTTTGGTTTGGCATTTACGTTTGCTCTGAAGGTTTTTTCATCTTTATTTTTCACCAGCATATTTACTGTTGAAGTCTAACACCTTTATATTGTTATTGTTGATTTTGCAGATTCTCAAGATCAACTCTTGTCAAATTGGTCCAGGCGCTTTAAAATCATTGAAGGGGTTGCTTGAGCAATTCTTTATCTTCATGAGCATTCGCGTCTTAAAATTAAATATCATGATCTTAAACCTAGCAATATCTTATTAGATCAAAACATCAATCCAAAGCTTTCCCATCGTGGAATGGCAAAAATGGTGGCAATAGATCAACACCAAGAAAGAACAAGGAGAATGGTTGGGACACAGTGAGTTAGTGAATGCTGAATTCCCCACCCCACTTCATTACTTTGTTCTTCTATTTGTTCCAACATGTAAAATGTTGTTTCTCATTCGCTTATATTGGCTGGATATTTTTCTTTTTTTGCAGCGGCCATATGCCTCCTCAATATGTAAATTTTGGAAGATATTCAGAAAAATCAGATATCTTTAGTTTTGGAGTTATAATGTTGGAGATTATAAGTGGGCGGAAAAACTCTTGTTCTTATGAATTACCCAGCATTAATGGCCTCCTAACTTACGTAAGTTGTTACTTGCTATGACTTTTACCTCTAAAACATATCACGTGACGAATTGTACGCATTCATTATACTACCTTTGATTTTTAATATAAGATCTTGTTTGACTTTTATTTTGGTCTTAAATATAAGACCCTAATCCACTTTGTTTTTCATATTTATGCATTTTTTCCTAATATAGTCCTTCTAACAATGGTAGTTCTAACTAATAAACTTGATTAGCAATGATATTTTAGGAAAGACAACACCTATTTATTACAAATAACTAACTTAATTTCTTTTCTTAATTTTCTCAAATTAGTCAACTAGCTCTATAATTAGGACCAGAGGCAGTATTTTTGTCAAATTTCAATAGATAAATGTTGATATAAATAAGTTGAAGCAGTGATGCCATCGTGCCTCAATAATTATACCATCTCCTGATGCATAGAAAGTTATAAAAAGAAGAAAGGGCAAATATTAATTGACATATGTTTACTCTGAAAACTTTGCAGGCTTGGAACCAGTGGAGGGGAGGTGAGACGCCATTAGAAATAATCGATCCGAAGTTGAAAGAAAGTTGTTGTGAAGCAGAAGTGATGAAGTGCATCCAGATTGGATTATTGTGTGTTCAAGAGAAACCACAGTATAGGCCTCCCATGTCAAGAGTTGTTTCGTATTTAAGTAATCTTTCTGTGGAATTACCATTTCCTCGCGAGCGCGCATTTTATATTCATGGTAGGAGGGACCCAAATTCGGGTCATCCTTCTGCTTCTGCCAACAATTCCATTCCATCTTCTGTCAATGAAATGTCTATAACTTCATCTTTTCCTCGTTAGTATATATGAAGCTTTGTACTTCGGAATCATTGTCAAATTTCCTTCTTACTCCCTTTTTACGCCCAAAAAGACGAAATATTCTGGGTCGATCTTCAAGTGTTGGATCGCAAAAGGATATGAACTTTAAAAAAAAAGAAAAAAAGACTACTTAATTACCTAGATGTTATCTGTATGTGAATATACATTCTTGCTGTACATTTTACTTTATTATTTAAATGCTAAAATTAATGTATAATTATTACAGTATTTTCGTATGTTCCTTTTTTAACTGTGTCTTTTCCCCAACAAAAAAAAAGGTAGTTATGGGAAATGGTAATCCTGATTCCTAATGAAAAATAAAATGACTTAGATCTTGGAAAAAGTTTAAGCAAGTTTGGGTCCCCAAGAATTCATGTATTATTGACAAAGCCCAACTATATAGAAACACAAGAATCAGCCGGTTTGAAAAATGCTACGGTCCAGCCTGGAAACCTACAACAATAGAAAGAGAGGAGCCATTTCTGGCTTTAGCGATGCCTATCACATTATGACCGCATCATTACTATTACGCGCCAGCCTAATAATCTCAATATTATTATGACTGCACGTATCATTATCTGTTATTGAAAACAACACCTTCATTTAATTTTTTTTAAAAAGTTTTTTTGAAAAAAAACTGAGGATGGACTATAATTTCATGTTACATTATTTCAATTTTTAGAGCATTCTTCTCGAAAGAATTTTGAAGTCAACTGCGGTCTATGTACGCTTTAATTAATAAAGTAGTGTTGATAATACATATAGGTGGCAAAGTCAGAATCATTCCGTAAAATTCCTCATCTTACTCCCTCTCGTCTCCATTAAACCAGACTGTATCTTGGTGGTCCACAGCCAATACACATATTCACACTATTTTTCTACCATTTCACTGGTTCTATTTAATTTCTGGTCGTTCTCATGGGGCCTGCCATTTTTGACTTTTTTGGACAAGTCTTCACAAATACCTTCGTCAATTTTTTCCGATGACAATAAGCTAAGAGCATAATATTTGGAATCCATTATAATTGTTCGTAATTTCCACGCTCCTCACGATTCACGACGCCATCTGGGGCGATAATTCAGGTCTGCTACTTTATTCTTCGCAGAAAAAAGAAATACTTATATCAAATTTATTATATTTATTATTTCAAATTTTCTAATCACACAGTTATATATCCGATTTTTTATGTAAATTTATAATTAAATAATACTGCCTCCGATGCCTAATATAAGACTCAACTGGTTAATTTGGGAAGATTAAGGTAATTGTTAAATTACTTAAAGTACTTATATTTGTTGTTTTTATCCAAACTAATTTGCCTCACTTATAAATTGATAATACATAATCTAATGATATATATAAATATTTTAGAGAGTGTTATAATTAAATAATTTAGTAACTTTCTTAATTTCTCTCAATTAGTTTTTAGTCAAATTAGTGAAGAACGTCCTGATTTAATATCAATGGACCTTTTAGTCATTCTCAGCGTGTCTTCCTCGTTACAAGTTCTTGTCTCCATCATGTGAAAAATTATTGTAACAGACCAAGATGGATATCCATTTAATGTAGACTGCCCAGTTAAAGTCTTATTTATGCTAGAGCCCTTAAAAACAAACGAAAATGATCCAAATGCCCATCGTTGCCCCCTTTTATGCTCAATCGTCAGATGTGCGCAGCGATTCTGGTGAGCTTCCGCTTTGGAAATTTGATCTGATTGAGAGACTGAGAGCCCAGAGTGGATACACTGTACTGACTTCAGGCTTCAAGCTTCACGTTTGACTTCAAGGTCCATCTTCTTTTTATTTGCATTCTTAGTTAGTGCTGGTTTGAAGTCACTTAAATAAATATATTTTATGTAAGTCAAACTAAACTTTTTCTCATATACTTACCTCATATTTCGTAAATAATGATTAAAAAACTACTTATAAGACATTCCAAACGGGCCTTTAGTCCTCCAAGAAAAATAACATTAGGTTAATATAAATTTTTATCCCTCAAGTTTGTCCTAGTTTTAGTTCTAGTTTTTCAAATTTCAAACCATAGATTTTGGTTTCTCAAATTTCTTTGTATTTAAAATATTAGTTTCTATAATTCAATAAAAATCTAGGTCATTTTGTCCTTTTAAGGGACCAAAACCTATTATTTAAAACTTGAGGGACCAAAATCAAAATAGAGTAAATTTGAGGGAATAAAGATTATATTAACTCAATAACATTTTTAAGGGTCTTGGGATTAAATATCCTTCCATTTTGTCATTATACATTTATTTTGTGAAAGGAATCGTTTAAGCAAGTTTAGTAAGATCTTCTTTTACTTTTTTCTTTCTATTGGTTTAAATCATGACCTCTAACCAATTCCTCCGATCGATGAGATGCTCCCCAGCTTGCCAGTAAAAGACACCCCCGAACACCGACCATATAGCTATTACCTTACCTTAAACACCTCGAATAATACAACCGACTGTCGTCACAGTTATCATGTTCGTCATTAACATGCCTTCCCACAAAATTATGTTACTCTTTTTCTTTATTAGCTTTCTCCATTCTGCTACTACTCAAGCACAACCCGTCTATACTAACAGCAGCTGTTCTGGCCGCGCCTTCGCTGCCAATAGTTCCTTCCAATCCGACCTCACCAACCTGCTCTCTTCCTTAGCTTCCAACAAAACCGCCAACAACGATTTCTACAACACCACCGTGCACCGCGGTCGCAACACCATATACGGCCTCTTCATGTGCCGGGGTGACGTCACCCTCGAGTTGTGCCACCAGTGCGTCGTTGACGCAACGAAAAATATACGCTCCCAGTGTAACGTCTCCAGGGAGGCCGTGATATGGTACGAGGAGTGTATGGTTCGCTATTCCGACCGCTACTTCTTTTCCTCCGTCAACACCAGTGCTGGCAGCTGCGGGGCCAACACCAACAACGTGGCCAACAACCAAACAGGATTCATGAATTTATTGTCGACAACTATGAACAAGGCGGCCGACGAGGCGGCCAAATCTGGTATGGGGAAGAAGAACTTTGCGACAGAAGAAGCGAGTTTACAGTTTCAAACTATGTATTGTCTGGTTCAGTGCACGCCGGACCTTTCTCCCCAAGGTTGCAGAACATGTCTGAGAGACGCGATTGGGGACCTTTTCAACTGTAGTTTCAACAAGATAGGAGGAAGAGTTTTATATCCCAGTTGTAACGTTCGCTATGAATTGTTCATCTTCTATAATTCTAGTGGTAAGCCAGCATCGCCGCCTCTTCCTGCAATTTTTCCTGCAACTTCTCAAGGTAAATTTAAACTTGCATATATGCTTCTCTTTCTTAATTGTTTGTTTGTATTTTTTAATATTTTTCGAAAGTAAAACTTCTTAATTCTCTACACACACATTACGCCAAAAAATGACTTGGTTGAAAGTGGACAAATCTTCTTACGAGTTACGACTCGCTATTGAGACATGAAAGTGTCTGATGTTTATACAGGAAAAGCAAAGACCATTGTGATAGTTGTGGTTTCTGTTGGTGGTGGGGGGATACTTTTTTCTTTGGTGTACTATCTCTTAAGGAGTTTAATAAGGAAGAGACGGAGGGCTGAACTCAGACAAAAATACTGTGAGTAAATTTTCATTCTATCTCTTTATTCCTGCAGTCTACTTGATAGGAAGTGTTGTGGTGATGTTTTTAATTAATATACATTGATTTGTTTCTTTATTTTGTGTTTATTTGTCTAGTTGGAGATGAAAGCAACACTTTAGAGCCTCTGCAATTCAGTTTGGCCACTATTGAAGCCGCAACAAATAAGTTTTCACAGGAAAATTGTTTAGGCCAAGGTGGATTTGGACAGGTTTACAAGGTGATCCATGCCATATATCGATATAAATTTTGATTGTGTCCCTCTCTAACTATATATATATATATATATATATATATATACCTGCGCGCCCGTGCAAATACAATTCATTTTTAATTTAATCAACTATGATTTTAGGGTATTCTTTCAAATGGTCAAGAAATAGCTGTAAAGAGACTTTCAAAAGGTTCAGGCCAAGGGGCAGCAGAATTTAAAAATGAAGTATTATTAATAGCCAGACTGCAGCACAGAAATTTGGTGACCTTGCTGGGATTTTGCATAGAAGATCAAGAGAAAATTCTCATTTATGAATATGTTCCCAATAAAAGCCTTGACTACATCCTATTTGGTTTGGTTCTTCTAAACTTTTTCATAATTTTTTTATTGAAATTTAAGGTTATCTTTATTTGTATGGGCATGTCCATCGTCACTCACAAAAATAAAAAAAATCATGTGTGCACAGGTTCCCAGGAAAATAGAAGACTAACTTGGGAGGAGCGTTATGAAATCATAAGAGGAGTTGCTCGAGGAATTCTATATCTTCATGAATATTCTCGTCTTAAAATTATACATCGTGATCTTAAACCTAGCAATATTTTGTTAGACAATGAAATGAATCCAAAAATTTCAGATTTTGGTCTCGCTAGGATGGTTGCTATCAATGAAAATGAAGGAAATACAAGGAGAATTGTCGGAACATAGTAAGTTATATTTTCTCTCTCCTTGACATTTACATTTATCTTGCTATAGTTGAATAAGGAAAAATAAGTTTTAGGTGACACCAAAAGGTTGCCTTCCATGTATCACTTAAGTGTCAAAATTAATCTTATCTTCTAATGGATTAAGTTTCATTATTGATATTATTTTCTTTTTTAGTGGTTATATGCCTCCAGAATATGCGATGTTCGGGCTATATTCTGAAAAATCAGATGTTTTTAGTTTTGGAGTTATAATTTTAGAAATTATCAGTGGAAAGAAGAATGCAAGTTGTCATGATGAATCGCAGTATGCTGATAGCCTCTTAAGCTATGTAAGTTATGATAATATGTTGATTTCATTAATATTTCTTATGCAGTCATCTTCATTTGATGAATGGTTGAAATAATGAGTTTTACTTAATTGTTGCAGACGTGGAATCAATGGAGTAATGAAAAGTTGTTCGAGATGTTGGATTCAAATCTAAAAGAAATGGAATCTTATAATGAAGTGAGCCGGTGCATCCAAATTGGATTGTTGTGTGTTCAAAGGCATCCAGATTCAAGACCTTCCATGGCTACAGTTGTTTCATATCTGAGCAATGATTCAATTCAGTTGCCACATCCACAGCAACCTGCTTTCTTTTTGCGCGCTCGAAGGGTACTTACTTCTGCAAGTAGAGAATATAGCTCCATTAATGAAATGTCTATGAGTGATTTCTTTCCTCGCTAGTTCCCAACCATACAAGCCTGTTCTATATTATTTCTTCTTCATCTTGGACACCAAGCTCCATTATGTGTAACATCTAAATGACATAACTTTTATAAGAGTTTTTATATTATACATATAGATGTGTATATTTTCATTACTTTTGTTTAATTTCATTCTGCATAATAAATACGTGATCATTTTTTTGAAGACAAGAATAAATCTTGCCACGAGTTTATAAGCACAATCTGAAACATAAGTGTGGGTCACATGATAATAGGGACGACCAGGAAAAGCTGTCATCAATTGGAGAAAATAATGAGAATAACACCCGACAAGAGCTAAACCAACGTTGGTTTAAACTTGAGGAAAAAGCTCATAGTTTTTTGTGTGAAAATATATAGTAGTATTACAGATTTTCATCAATGGCTGGCTCCGATGACTGCTCTAACTCATTGGCTTAAAGCTACGCCATATATCATTAAGAGCATCATCTACTTCTAAACCCAATCCCAAGCTCACAACTTTGTCTCTGCAACCACTTTAAACTCTGCTCCTTCCGTAAATGCTAGCATAAAAATAAGACTACCACGCTAAAGCAAGCCCTGGAACATCATATATGGGTCTCGTCTCATGATCGGGACTATATATAATATTATAAATTTTTCAGATATATTTTTTACTGTTCTTTTTCCCATCATTTAGAGCCTAGTTAGGTCCACCACCTTCATAATTTGATCCATTCAACACGGCTTCTAGTCTTCGGCGCCACTAGGAGGTAACAGACGTATGTAGTAGGGCCACAATCATAATAACAGTTTGTGATTGACGTCCTTTCTCCCTTGGATGAAGGTAAAACTTCAATAAAAATAATTCAAGACTTGTTAGCTTGTTTGACCAAGTCTATTAGAATCCATTTTCGTACGTACCTGATTAGTTCTTTGACTGAGAATTAATATCTTTGATTAGAGTATTGCTTATATATAATTCGCCAGAGTCAGTATCACGAAAGTTACTCTTCTAAGTCCATAATTAATCTGTAGTTCGTTTAATCCACGTATTAGTTGCCAAGGATGCCTGCACTGTGTAAACTAGTACCGGATGACGCCTTTTGGGGCGTTCTTCTTGGATGACACAATAGGATGCGCCATAAACTAATATTACTCATTATTTGTTATTGAAAACAACACTTTCATTTAATTAATTTCTCAAAAACTAAAAAAAAAACTGAGGATGGACTATAATATTATGCTATATTATTTAATTTCAATTGCGGGTCTAGCTGAATTGGTTTTATTTGGAGCCTTCTCATCAAAATATCTTTTAGGCAAATGCGTACAATGCATGTTTGATTCAATATAATTAATAGTGTCGTGTAGATGACAAGTCTTGGAGTCTTCTTTTTCGATGATACCTTAGGATGTGTCACTAACTAATTAATATTGCTCATTATATATGTCATTTTAATTTTATTTCTCAAAATAAAAAACTTGAGGATGGGCTATCGGATCAAGTTGGGCAGGCTTTGGAGCATTCTCGGAAGACTTTTAAGGTCAATTGCGGTGTATATACGCTTTAACTAATGAATTTCTGTGGATAACAAATTTTGGAGGCTTCTTTTTGGATGACACCTAATTAATTCGGATGTGCCATTAACTAATATTCAAAACAACATTTTGTTTTCACTAAAAAAAATTTTGTTTTAGTTTCCCAAAATAAAAAAAATTAAGGATGGACTATATAATTCCGCGCTAGCTATATTATTTCATTTGCTGGTCAAGCTGAATTGGCTTTGGAGCATTCTCAAAAGATTTTTGAGGTCAACTGCTGTGTATGTACGCTTTAATTAAGAAAGTTGTGTGATAAATAGTTGGGAAAATAAGAATTTTTCTACATTTTAAAAATTATTAGATGAAAATGAACACACATTAATGTAACTATTTCAATATTATGAACAAATTTCATAATTATCAGTTTTTCACGACTGTCCGAGTCTCAGCCCCATTTTTCTTCAGTCTCCCTATCTCAATTAGTAGCTTGTTCACGTCATGAAGTCATTGTATGATGTGCAAGAACTTATGCGGCAGAAACAGGGAAATTTGCTTAAAAGTATTAAATAGCTCAGATATTTAAGAAAAAGGACATGATAACTTGCTAAATATGAAAAAAATTGTAAAATTATAAAAAAAAATTGCAGATTCTAAATTTAGTCTTCTTTTCTAATTTTGGCTTGCAGTGTAATTTCACAATTCTTTATGTTAGATTTGTATAAAATTTCTTGAGAAGTCTTATTATAAAATCCATCCCTATAATATCATTTGGATCGGCAGAATGACACAAGCAAGTGATGTTGCTGGTTTAAAAAAGAAAAAAAAAGATGTTGGCGGCATTTTATTGATCTTTGGGAGTATTAATTAAAAAATTTCTCTGTGTGCTTGGCTGAAATTGATAGCTATAGATGATCTAAAAAAATCTTTCTTGATCTTAAGTTAAAACATAAACTGTAGAAAATTTTGGAACACTCATTTTTCCTACCGAGATGATGGAAAAAAACCTGACAAGCTTGACTTGGCCATTGAGTTGCGCTAACCTTCTCTGCGTCATCATCGGTTAAACTGACCCCCTTTCGCTGCCATTACGATGCCCTTGTTCCTCCGGCGGCCCACTTGCCATCAAAATTCACTTCATCACAAAATTAAACTCAAACTATAAAGCATTATCCTCATCTCAAACGCCATCAATAACATACCCTTCACCCTTAATTGCCATGACCTACAACATTATAATTTTGTCACTCTTCTTCTTCATCGGCTTCCTCCTCAATTCTTCTTCTGCTCAAGTCATAGGTCGTAATGATCTTTACCCTCAGTGCTCCACCGGCAGTAATTTCACTGCCAATAGTACCTTCGACTCTAACCTCCAAACTCTATTTTCTCCCTTAACTTCCAACAAAACCGCCAACCTCGACTTCTACAACACCACCGTTGGCCGCGGCGGCGAGACTGTAAACGGCCTCTTCAGGTGCGTGGGTCCCGTCAACCAGGACATATGCCGCCAGTGCGTAGCTAACTCAATCCTACAGGTAGGCTCCGTATGCCGATTTTCGAAGGAGGCCGTAAACTTGGGGGGGGGGGGGCGGTCAGTGTTTGGTTCGCTATTCCAACCGCAGCTTCTTCTCCACTGTCGATACAAGGCCTAGACTCCGAATGTTGAACCCTAACAATGTCTCGAATCAGGCTGGATTCATGAATGTATTGACGATTATTATGAACCAGACGGCGGACGAGGCTTCCAAGTCTGCTGTGATGAAGCAGAAGTTTAAGACGAATGCGGTGGTGGTAGAGTTTCAAACTATGTACGTTCTGGTTCAGTGCACGCCGGACCTTTCGTCGGCGGATTGCAGAAGGTGTCTGAGCGGAGTGATTGGGGACTTTAGATGGTGTTGCGATGGGAAGATCGGAGGAAGAGTGCTATATCCGAGTTGCTTCGCTCGTTATGAATTGTATCGGTTCTCTAATTCTTCTACGCCTCTTCTGCAAGTAAAGCTGCCGCCTCCTCCGGCTCTACTTCCTGGTAAGCTTCATAATTATATGCTTTTCTGATTTCTTTTTTTCTAATTAAGTAAATTAGAGTAAATCTATTCATGAAAAAGATTAATTATATATGCTGATTTCGGGACCAAAATAGTCATTTCAAAACATGACATTAAAGAAGAGCAACCGTGAGTCCTCATTAGAGGCCTATCGAATCAATGAGCTCCAAGCGCTGAGCGGCCAAACGGTGTCGCATCATCGACAGTGAAACGCTGAAAAGATTTCTCTCTCCATCCACGTGAAAATTGATGCCCCATCTCCTTTTATCCTCTTAGGCTATAGTCACTGCCCTTTTCTTTTTTGTTTGTTTTTTAAAACTCACTCACTTTTTTTATTTAAATATCTTTATAATTAAAAAATTCAAACATAGCAATTATTTTTTAAAATTAACACATATATATACTATATGCGCTATAAAATTATGTTTAGACGAAACTTAAACCTTCTACAATATCTTACAAAAAATGTTAACTAACACACCTATAGATCTTACACAAGATAAGATGCATCTTGAAATACTCTTTTGGTTCTATTTATAAGGCACTTCCAGCATGTTTCACACAGACCAAAAAAACTTTAAACTTCATTAACTCTCATTTAAAATTTAGTAACTTTTCAACTTTATCTCTATTTAATATATACTATACCTCATGTAGACAAAGTCAACACAATAATAAATGAGGGGTAAAATTGTACATCTATACAAAAAATTTCTCTCAGTGCCTATAAATAGGACCAAAAATTATCTTCTCTCTCTGCCCTATAAATAGGACCAGAGGAGTACTTGTTAAGTAGCGGCAGCGTTTGACCGCTGAGCACCGGCTACTCATCCATTCGAAGAAAACCTAATGCAGACTCGAGGAACCGTGAATCTCTTCACCCTTGTCAATGAGCGCATACGGAAACAGTTTCAGTGCTCATTATTTTGAAGAGTATCATATGTTCATCAAATTTAAATTATTCATATTTCATTTAGATAGTTCAGATTATTTTTATTTTTATTTATTCAAAATAATTATTTTAATATGTATAGAATTTAAAATAAGGATAATCTCTTAACTATCATTCTTTCAAAAAAATAGTTTTTTATTTAAAAATAATTAATTAAATATTTTAAATTTGAACCATCTAAATGAGATATAGATAGTCCAGATCTGATGATGTTATCGTACTCATCAAAGTGATGAGCACCGAAACTAGTTCCACGCATGCGGTGATTCGTAAGAACCACTTTTCGGTGTTTATCGTTTTGATGAGTACCTTAAACTCATTAAATCTAGACCGTTTATATCTTATTTAAATAGTCTAGATTTGATTTATTTTCTATTTTTATTTATTCAAAATAATTATTTTAATATGTATAGAATCCAAAATAGAGATAATCTCTAAAATGTGATTCTTTCAAAAAATAATTTTTTCTATTTAAAAATAAATAATTAATAATTTTAAATCTAAAATATTCAAATCAAATATAAACGGTTTGGATTTGATAAGCTTGGAGTGCTAATCAAAGTGATGAGCATTGAAACCGGATCTGTGACTCATATGGTGCCAAAAAAATAATTATTATTATTTTTAAAATTTTTGGGGAGTAGGGAGGTGGGAGGAGACTATTCGTCTATAAGATTGCTATGAATGACCACAAAAAATAAATCATTATCCTCGACGTGTTCAGATTTAAGTTGGGGCTCTAGCCCACATTCTGTATAAAAATAAATAAATCACTGTAAATATTTAAAATATTGTTTTCAAAAGTCTCATGCTCATGACCAATTAATGATTTAGTTTCTTATAGATTGTTTTTTGGTATATGAAAGATACGTATATATAGATTGAGGACACAGTCAAAGAAGTAAAAGAAATAATTTTAATTTATGATGGAAGTAAAAGGTAGAAATTAAATAGTATATCATTTTGTTCATAAAATAAAGACGCCGCAATTTATTAAGAAGTTTGAACGTGCTTTTTCTGAAAAATATGCATTTGAGATATCTTAAAATATCAAGGGAGGAAGACGAAAATTTATAGGGGAAGCATTTTTTCCGCTGAAAGCAATAATATTATTTTAAATATTTTAACATTTATTTGGCCAAAAAAAATATTTTAACATTTAAATTACTTAATAAATTTTATATCCACGAAAGGCCTGTCCCCGCAACTCAATTTGGAATCATGTGTGAAGAGAATCATATGCGAATGCGAAACGCAGAAACAACTTCGGTTTTGCCGATTTTGCGTCTTGGTGTTCCGCCGACACCACTTTGGGGTAATTCAAATGATTCATGTTCGATCCTGTTTACACATGACTCAAAAAATTGACTTGCTTGGAGGTTAATAAAGACTCAAATGGCTTTTAGCTCTAGCTTCAATATATAGGCTAATTATTTAGAGACATGGTGATAAGGAGTGACATTGAGACGCGGAAATATTCTATATACAGTAAAAAGGAAAAGGCGATTAAGGACTATTTTGATAGCTGTGGCTTCTCCTGTTGGTGCCATGACACTTTTATGCTTCGCCTACTATTTATCAAAGAATCAGATAAAGAAGATACGTATGGCTTTTCTCATGCGAGAGTACTGTAAGTAATTTTCATTCCATTTCTTCACTACTCACACAGTCTGGCTAGCTAGTTGGAGAGTGGCGATACTTCTCGTATGCTTTAATATCATGGTTTATTTGTCTAGTTGGAAGCGAAAGCAACACTTTAGAGCCTCTGCAATTCGGTTTGGCTACGATTGAAGCAGCGACAAATAAGTTTTCAAAGCAAACTAGTTTAGGTCAGGGTGGATTTGGACAAGTTTACAAGGTGAGAAATGCCGTCGATGTGTAAATATTGTGATATTTATACTATTGGTTATATTGTTTTTCCTGTTTAATTTAATCAACTATGACTTCAGGGCATTCTTTCAAATGGCCAAGAGATAGCGGTAAAAAGACTTTCGAAAAGTTCTGGCCAAGGAGCAGAAGAATTTAAGAATGAAGTTTTGCTAATAGCCAGGCTCCAGCATAGAAATTTGGTGGCCTTGCTAGGATTTTGCATAGAAGAGCAAGAGAAAATTCTCATTTATGAATATGTTCCCAACAGAAGTCTTGATTACTTCCTGTTTGGTTAGACTCTTCTAAACTCATTTTAACTCAATCGAAATTTATATACATTCGTGTTATCAACATTTGACACTCGCTATCTCATATATGCTAAAGTTAATTACTTGCTTTCAATTATCTTTGTTTAATTTGTCAGTCTAGTCATTAACGATAGCTTTATATATGTATAGGTTCACAAGAAAGCAAAGTGTTAAATTGGGAGGAACGTCACAAAATTATTGGAGGAGTTGCTAGAGGAATTCTTTACCTTCATGACTATTCTCGAGTCAAAATTATACATCGTGATCTCAAACCTAATAATATTTTGCTAGATGATGAAATGAACCCAAAAATTTCAGATTTTGGCATGGCTAGGATGGTTGGATTCAATGACATTGAAGGAAGTACAAATAAAATTGTTGGAACATAGTAAGTTATAAGATTTCCTTCAAACTCTTTTACCTCTATATCATGGCATGGCTGAATAAACAAAAATAAGCTTCTATGATAAGCCCACATAAAAGTTCGTCTTTCATTTTTTTTTCCAATTTAAAATGTCCAAGTGTGTTGCTTGTTAGCTATAAGAACAAGATTTATGATTGATATATATTTTTTCCAGTGGTTATATGTCTCCAGAATATGCAATGTTTGGACAATATTCTGAAAAATCAGATGCTTTTAGCTTTGGAGTGATAGTATTAGAAATTATTAGTGGAAAGAAGATCACAAGTTCTCCTGATCAATCTCATGGCCTCCTAAACTATGTGAGTTAATTATTGTAATGCGTCTATTACACTAATATTTCTTATGTAATTGTCTCAGATTTGGGAGAGATTATTTTAACAATATTGTGTGAGATATTCATAGGGTGGTGATTAAAATAGCTGAGTCCACTGAATTGTTGCAGGCTTGGAATCAATGGAAGGAAGAAAAGATCTTAGAGATCGCGATACTGGATTCAAATCTAAATGAATCTGAATCGTTGAATGAAGTGAACAAGTGCATCCAAATCGGGTTGTTATGCGTTCAAGAAAATCCAGAAGCAAGGCCTTCTATGGCTACAGTTGTTTCATATCTTAGCAATGATTCAATTCAATTGCCATTTCCCCAGGAACCTGCTTTCTTTCTGGAGGGCCAAATGGAGCTTAATACCGACAGTAAAGAATCAATTAATGAAATGTTTATAAGTGAATTCCATCCTCGGTAGTACGAGGCTTTTATTTCATCTTGTCCTTTGCCACCAAGACTCAATTTGGTACCTTGTTAATCAGAGAACAAGTATTTTTATGTTATTGTACCCAAATGACGAGATTCAACATAAATGGTAATGTTGATATTATTATTCAATAATATATTTTCCAATAAAAGGGCGGTGATTAAAATAATTAGCTAGACTTAATAGTTACAGGCTTGTAATCGGTGGGGGAGGAAAAGTTATCAGAGATATAGGATTCATGGATAAATATTGAATTCAGATCATATAATGGAGTGATTAGTACATCGTCGGGTTGCTTTGTATGCAAGAAAATCCAAATGCAAAGTCTTTGTGCCTGGCTATAATTGTTTTATATCACAGCAATTATTTAACTCAGTTGTCACTTCCAGAGCAACTTTTTTTTTTTTTTTTGCATTGTTAAATGGAGCTTACCAATTGATTTGTGAGTAAAGAATCATGCTCTACAAATGAAGTCTCGTTGAGTGAATTTTTTCCTCACCAGTAAAATCCTTTTATTTCTGCTTTTTCTTAAATGCAGATGCTCTGCTTGGTATCTACGAGATAAAAGTATTGCGCAAATTTATAAATACAAAGATAGAGCCTCTTAATGGACGGCGGAAGAAAAAAGGAGCCAAAAACAAATCCCAATCTGAAATGATCAAATTTATATTGTTATTGCACACATATTTTCAAAACAAAATACAAACCATCAATTCCCAGAGTAGAGAAAAACAAAAGTTGAAGTCTGATCTACTCCGATCTAACGAGGAAATAGTGTACTCTTCGACATTTCATTGATGGAATATTGATTGGGGTTGGCAAACTGACCCTCCATTTCTATAGTGGTTGCTACAGGTTCCATTTGACTATGTATGAAGAATGCTGGTTCTTGAGGAATTGGTAATTCAATCGAATCATTACTTAGATATTGAACAACTTCATTCATGAAAGGCCTGACTTTTGGATTTCCTTGAACACACAACAAGTTGATATGGATGCATTTGATTATTTCACTGTGTGACCCAGCTTCTGTCAGATTTGGATCCAACCTCTATCAATTTTTCGTCCCTCCAATGCTTCCAAGCGTGCCATTATGTCAAATCATAAATTCAAAATAGGGCCCTACTATTAATTTGATTATAGAATATTGTTAACATAAGCTCCAATGACTGCATTGATGCTTGTAAAGATGACCACGATGAAAGGTATGAGATGATTATTTGAGAAATATTGAAAGTTTCATACTCACATTACTTAATAGTCCATCAGTATATTGAGATTCAGGATATTCATGATGAGAATTTATATTCTTCTTTCCAATAATAATTTCTAAAACCATCACCCCAAAGCTGAAAACATCTGATTTCTCTGAAAATAGTTCAAACTTAATATATTCTGGAGACATATGACCCCTGCAATAAATACATAAAATAACAAATAAATATATCAATATATCTTAGAATATTAGCACCAATCAATTTGAGCAAAATCTTGTGCCAATATTTAAATTCAGCAGCAAAGTACACGTGCAGGATACACAGGTACCTCCAGAGAAAGACAAAAATAGAAGAAAAAGAGAGAGAACTTACAGTGTTCCAACAATTCTATTTGTGTTTCCCCTCGTTTCATTAATACCAACCATTCTTGTCAGGCCAAAATCAAATATTTTTTAATTCATCTCATCATCTAACAATATGTTGTTAGGTTTGAGATCTCGATGTATTACTTTAAGACATGAATGTTCATCGAAATAAAGAATTCCTCAAGCAATTCCTCTTATAATTTTATAGCGCTCAAGCGAATTTAACCTTCTTGGCTTTTGTGAGCCTATTCATAATTAAATTACTTTGTGAGTATTAAATTAAATGACAGATATTTTCACCTCCAAGAGTAATGAAAGAATGGATAGTACTACTTATGGTCCTAATTATAAGACCTCATTTGTAGTTTACAAACACGATCTTATAATTATGACTGGAAGTAGTATATGAATAAAAAAATTGAAAAAATGGTAAGATGAGTTTGGTTAGAAGAAACAAACCAAATAAAAAGAAATCCAGACTCTTGTTGGGAACATATTCATAAACAAGTATTTTTTCTTCGTCTTTCAGGCAAAATCCTAATAGTGCCACTAGGTTGCTATGTTGAAGTTTGGCAATTAATAAAACCTCATTCTTGAATTCTAATAAGCCCTGACTAGAATTTTCTCACAATCTATTTACAGCAGTTTTGCTGCCATCGGGAAGAATGCCCTGAAATCATAAATAATCAGATAATGAGGGAGTGGGAAATACATGCAATTAATGATATACACAAGCACACACGTTGATTTGATTGCATAATTAAGTTACCTTGAAGACTTCTCCAAATCCACCTTTGCCTATTCTATTTTCACTTGAGAACTTATCTGTTGCAACTTCAATTGTTGCCAAATTGAACTGTAATGACTCTAACACAGCTCCTTCACTTCCAACTATAGATAAATGTACATTTCAAGGTAAGTACACTACAACAACATGGTTTTTCTCGCAGTTGCCTGAGTTTTCTTTCTTGTTTTCTCAAGGAAACTAATGACATCACCTTCAGATGCCGTGGAGGGAGGCTGGTCGCCCTTGTAATAAAATCGGTCTTCTCCGAATCTCAAATTGCAGATCAGATTCTGAATTGTTCCTCCGTGTAAAGCATTTTCTTTTGAAACAAGAAGATTCATGATGCCATATAGACACTTGCTACAGAATTGTCGGGACAGATTCGGCGTGCACTGTACAAGAGTGTACACCGATCCCCCACTAAAGTTTGCTTCCTTTGTCGCAAATTTCTTGGCACCTGGCGTCGCCGCCTCCATCACCGCATCATTCAACGTCTTATTTAATTCTGCGTATGCATCTGGGTTTGGAGGGGGTAGCATCTCGCCGCATTGTGTTGACATTGGTTTACGGAGACAGCTGGTTAACAACGCTCTGCTAACTGTCGGCAGTTGATCGAGGGTGGAGAAGAAAGAACGGTCGGAATAGCGGAGGGAGCACTGGTCGTACCAGATGACTGCCTCTTTGTTGTAGGGACACTCTGAGGCCATTCGATTTATGGCGTCCTGAACGCAATCTCGACAGACCTGAATGGGGACGTCACCTCGGCACATGAACTCTCCATATACGTTGGCAGAGCTGGTGTTGAAGAATTCGGGAGTATCACCGCCGGCGGCCTTTTCATACAAGATACCGAAGAGAGTGTTAAGGTTGAACTGGTAGGGGCTATTGGAAGTGAAGTTTTTATTAATTGTGCAGTTGTGGTCAAAGCAAGCAGCGATGTGGACTTCAGAAGAAGCCAGATCAAAGGAGGAAAGAAGCAGAAAATAGGATAGCAGTTTCAGAAATGGCATATCCATATTCCTGCCCAATGCTTCTGCAGGCGTGGCCGTGGCTTCTGCTAAATAAAGTAAAGCAAAGCTTTCACTCGGTTGGACCTCTAACGCTACAACCGCATCTTCCCATCTTCTTCCCTTCTCATTATTGTTATTATTATTTTCCTTTTGATTGTTAAGTTTTAACTGGAACGAGAAGTATTTTCTATTGTTTATACATGATGTTTCCCCCAAAAAAAAAAAAAACCAATTTATGTTCTTTGTAAAATATTAAAAATAAAAAACTGAAACATTTCATGAGTAGTCATATATCAGAATGTCTTTCATTTCGCATGTAGAATAAAGCTAATAATAAAAAGCAAAAGGGCAAAGAACAAATTAGAAAGACAGAGCATTATTAGGGGTATTAAAGGCGTGGGCCATTAGAGGCCAATAACCCAACATTATTCACGGAAGAGGAATTTCCGTGTGATTTTCATTTGCCAATGTGAAAAGGTTCACCATGCCACGACTTTGCTTGAAAGAGCCTGCTGTACGTTTACACCCGTACTATGAGTGTTTTTGGATCCAAAAAGGCAAAAACCAAGATTTATGATCTACAAAACAAGAAGAGACCAGAGAGAGAGAGCAGCCAAGATGCTCTGTTTCTACCGGTTTTAATTTCACGCAAGCAGAGCATTTAGGATCATGAGCTTTCTCATGTAAGAAATCAGCACATTAGATGGCAGTCCGAGTAAATCATATTCTTTACCCTCAATGGATGGTTAGTTCTGCCGTCTACCATTATTAATGGAAGAATGTTTTACAGTAATTGAAGAAGGGAGTGTAAGCGGCGACCTTGTTGCAGCCATTGTTTACAAAGATCAGAAAACTTATATGCTCTGGCCCATGCAGGGGACGCGAGCTTGGACCAAAATGGAAATCGAGCCCATGCAAATCTGCAATTACGCACCGTCGTAGTGCACGTGTTAGACGTATACCTTGGAGGCTGAGAGAATAAAGAGGCCGTTACGTGAGAGAGAGGGGTGTGGATTATGTGCGAGTCATTCTCTCTGACACTTCTGTTGTGATTTGTATTCCGTTGAGTAATTGTTCATACACTGTGAACGAGTATAGCTATTTCAATGTATATCTATCTTCAGATTCAATTCCATCTGTGAATTTGCAAGAGTCATAACATTATATTGTCCACAAAAATAAAGAGCAATAAGACGGTTCATAATCATAATGCACCGTCAATTTTAGCACTGTCTCACCACCAAAAAAAATTGAAAAAGATGGAAAAATCAATCAGAGAAGCTTATTATAAGCAATTGAGAACACACACACACTTTCATATATAAGAAAACCAAAATAGCCTCTTAATGGATATCAGAATAAAACAGGGGGCCGATTGAAAAAACAATCCAAATTTAAAACAACTAAATTTTTATTGTTCTAGATTTTCATTCAAAGACTACTGAGGAGAAATGTTCAGCTAAGAATAACAAATTCAATTTAAATTCCAGTTATTAGCTTTTTTGCCACATATATAGTGCTTCCGATTTTAATTATAAGATTTAGTTTGTAGAATGATCTGCACTACAAACTAGCTATATCTTATGGTTAGAGTTTTGCCCCCCAACTATCTGTTTTAGATATGCATAACTTTCTTGAATTATATGTTGGCAAAAAAATTCTTGAGTTACACGTACCAAACTTTCAAAATGCATGAAATTGAATGATTGATGATAACAAATAAAAACTCAAAATGTATACATTAATTTGTTTATTTACACTTGTGCCATTTTAGATTTGGGAGTGTTTGAATGAAAACCAAACTATAGTTTTAAAAATAATTTTACGATATACCAAATAAATATGTAAAAAAATTTATCTTAATTTATAAAAAATATTTTTTAAAAATATTTTTAAAGTAGGGAAACTTAATTTGAAGGTCCTTTACAGTTTTTTTTTTTTTTGAATCAGGTCCCTCTTTTTTTTCTTTTTTATTGAATCCTTTGACCTTTTACCGTTGCATCCGTGAGTCCTTCCTGTTAAATATAAACTGACGGTGTTAGAAATTTCCGTTAATGGCCCTGAAGTTTTCCTCTCTCTTTCACCGTTGCTCAACATCGACTCCATTTCATCCCCACCAGTCTCCCAACATACAAGTGGCTCACCATTCCTTCCAATCTCTCCATACGACCTTCCCTCCGCCTAGTCGAAAAGTCACCTACACACTCTCCAACCCAAGCTCTCCACTTTTGACAATGATGCTCGCTTGCTCACTCTCTCTATCTCTACGTATATGTGTATATATATCAGTGAGGTTCAGAGTGAGAACTGTTTCTTATCGAGCTCATGGCTTGCTAGTTATCCACTCATCAACCTTAAGTGAGAACCGTTGGGTTGCCATTGAAATTCTTAGCGAGAGCCACCAGAGCTAGTTATGCACTCATCACCTGTTCTTGATGGTGACTCTGTTATCTGTGTTGGAGACAGAGCCAAACAGAGCATTTTAATAAAAGTGCTTATTTCATGTTGAAGATGAAAACTTGGGTTTGCGGAAGCACAAGTTTGTTAAACTAACCATATGGGGGCCACGCTCTTATGACTATCTTAACCGAGAAGGGCATCCATGAGAATCAATGGGGAGGGAATAAAAAGAGATATAATAACGTTTGGCCGAATTTGTGCCCGAAGCCTCATGTTGTTTTTATGATAAAACCCATGCTTATGATACCTCCTTGGACGACGAAGATTCTTATTTGTCTCCATCTCCATAAGCTCACTCCCCAACTTCTGATAAAATGCCCCCGGCGTTTATGTATTTAATCAAAGACATAATGCTTGTGCTTTTCCTATCTTTCTTGTGATTTTTTAGGAATTTCTCGCCCATTTAATTGGATAGGCTAGTTATATTGTTCAACCTTGCACGCAATATCACTTTTAATCAACAAAAGTGCTTATCCAGCCCCATCTAGATGAATCACAATTAGGTCGCGGGCGAAGGCGGATGATGATGAGCAAAGGTCGTCATATCATCGGGAACACCGGAGTGATGAGGTTGCAGCTACAGCGCAGGAGCAAAGCTGGTTTTGGCCTTTGGGCTGTGGAGGAAACGTGCCAGTGGAAGATGTCATAGAGAGGCGGGAATGAATAGTGCCATTTGCATGTGCGAGGCCGAAGGGAACGAGGTTGAGCAATGAGTGAGAGAGAGAGGGGGGGGACAGCTCGGTAAATCTAACGGGAAGTTTTGACAGTGTTAGTTGTATGTAACAGCACGGCGCGATCAACTTAACGGTAAAAAGTTAAAGAATTTAATAAAAAAGAATAAAAACTGAGGTACCTGATTCAAAACAGAAGAAAACTGCAGGATTGTTATAAAATGGATCCAGAATAAAACCATAAAAGTAGAATAGAGAAAGATAAAGACAAGAGAATAAGAGAACTTTTATATTTCTTCACTTGCACTGCAACACAAATGGCATGCTTTATTTATAGACATAGTCTTATACATAGATTACAATTGTCCTTAAATGACAAATAGTAGATAATCAGTCCCATAAATATAAATGGAGGTGAGTTACAAGAGTGAATGGATAGTGAAGGAGTAATGGATAGTAGAGAAGTAATGGATGGTAGAGGTAGTGGAAGTTACTTGGAGAAGATGAAGAGGAAGGAGTAAATGGACATCCACATAATATTCACAACACTCCCCCTTGGATGTCCATTATACAAATATGTGCCTCGTTAAAAAACTTAAACTAGAAAAAATCCTGTGGGATAAAAACCTAGAGGAAGAAAACGAGTATACATTTATCGATATACTATCCAGTGTTGCCTCATTAAAAACCTTACTAGGAAAAACCCAGTGGGATAAAAACCATAATCAAGGAAAAAAGAGTACATCATGTGTTAACTTCCCTTCTTAGTAACATGAATCGATATCTCTGAATCTACAACATCCAATACCATGAACAAGCTTTTCAAATATCATACAAGGAAGTGACTTGGTGAACAAATTTGTCAGATTTTCGTTGGAACGGATTTTCTAGATATATATTTCACCATCTTTTGAATATTATGAAATATTTCATCTGGAATAACCAACATTTGGATCAAAAAGGAATTTACAACCTTTATTTTAGTGTCTTCGTGTTGATGAAGAACTATATCTTACTAGTAAGTTAACAACAAATGATATGTCAAGTTATAAGTGACTGATAAGATATGATATGATAATTCTGGATATATGATTTGGTACTTCTAGACCAAATAGTTCTTCATCACATTCTTGAAATCTAAAAGGTTCTTTATTCACCTCCACAAATCTCACAACTATCAAAGTATATAATGGATATGATTTATCCATATAAAAACACTTTAAAACCTTTCTTGTATCAATTATTTGATACACAAAAATCTTCATTTCTCAAGTATGCAATTTGCAACTTGCGACAAAACTTTATTCTTCCCAAGTCGTTTATGTCAAATTCTTTCTTTAAGCGATCCATAGCTTTTGTAAGCTTTTCAGGAGTTCCAATAATAATATTTATGTTATCAACATAAACAAATATAGCAAACTCATTTTCAGATCTTTTTATAAAAATGCAGGGATAAATTAGATTATTTTTATATCATTTTTTAACCGATATTTACTTAATCGGTTATATCACATACGCCCTGATCGCTTCAATTCTTATAGAATTTATTTAGCTTAATTAAGTATTGTTCTCAAGAACTTGAATTGTATGCTTCTGGCAAGTGAAATGCTTCAGAGAATTTGATATGTTTTGATCTAGAACTATAAAATGATGATACATACTGAAATTATTTTAATCTTCATAATATTTCATATACTGAAAGATTTTCTTATATATGCTCCTGGCATATTTTGGATCCTTCAAGGATTATCATGTAAATTTTTACTATTTAATTATCCTCATCTATGGGTCATCTAACATGCACATTTCATAATGCCAGATTATTCAAAGATGTAAAATTATATCCACCACAAAGTAATATGTCTCATCATAATCATTTGTGAAAATTGATATTTTCACATAAACGTCCATATATTCTATAGAAATTTTATATTTCATGTGTTGGGATTGCAGGCCTATTTTCACATATTGAAATAATATTTTCATCACGTCTTTTCCCTTTTCTTCTTGTTCTTGTCCAAATTTATATATATTTTGTATGATAGATCTATGTGTAAGATCCTCTTTTTATCACGTGATATTCTTATAAAAATCATTGTCGACAACTTTACCTTTTCGGTTCTATTTTTTCTTTTGTGACATAACTTGTTAAGATCTCTTTCTTCCTTTTCAGGTACTTGAACCTCTTCTGGGGTTTTACAATTAGTTATGTTTTGACACTCTTTTAGAGTATATGCCTCCTCAATATGACTTCTAAGTTGTATGCTTCTCTTTATTCAATATATTTATATTGGAACCAATTAACCTCTCATGCTTCAGGCATGTCTCATTTTTATTTATACTAATTGGAGCATTTTCAGTTGGAGTAAGAGATTTAAAAATTTTCATTTAGGTTAGTAAAATATTTTGTAGCATTTCATGAATGCAATTTTGATGAACTTCTGGTCCATATATACTGATATATTTGAGGATCTATATTTGATAGTAATAATGTATTCCATGTGTTCTCTTTTCCAGCTACTCAATTTCTCCCCCTCATGTTAAGAAAATTTTGTCGAATAACAGTCAACTAGTTATGCAGTATAAGTCTCTTAAATCTATTTGTTTCTTTTAGGAACATTGTTTTGTTCCATTTAGAGACAAACAAGAAGAAGGAGGTTCTTACCCAACATATGTCTCAACTTTCTTTTGATATTCATCTATATGCATTGTGGTGGATTGATAGGAATAAATATTACACATTTTAATTTTTTTAGATGAAAAATATCTGGCTCCTGACCAAAAACCAATTTTATTGGGGGAATTTTGTTGCCTTGATGTCTATAAGTGTTGCAATATATTAAATCAAATATGCCAACACTAAAATGAAAAATTTGTTCTCATAAATATTGATCAAGCTATTCACGGAGGCATTAACAAATGATTTTGCTAGATCAATTTGTTAAGCAGGCTTTTTAACATTAAAAGCCTGATATATAAATTCACCAGCATCTTTAAAATCAAGTTTTGGAAATCACATAGTCTAGAAATATTTATCTAGATAATCTTGCAAACTTCAGGCTGCAAATTAATGTCAATCACACTTCAGATGCATCTATCAAATATTAAATACTTGTATGGCTTATGTGCTTCTAAATGGGCCTATATATATATATCCAGAAATGTAGCGATCCATTCGAAAACAAAACATAACTAGTGATATTTTATAATCAATTTTCTTTGAGAACAAGCAGCACATACGAATTCTTAAAAATGTTGGCTATTAGGAAGAATTTTCTGGTTTTTCAATGGATATCAATACATAATCTTCAATAATCATATAGTTTAAGATGATCAAACAAGTCATGCCAACAATAAATCTAATTATGTCAATTTGGTTTACTATACCATGTTTCGTTACCAATAATAAACTTTTCAATATAATATATGATATATGATTGATGATATCCATTTATGAAAAATATATCCAATATCAACTCATACTTGTATTCCAACAATCTTCCCTTCAGATTGAGTCATTCAAACATGATTCTTTTATTCATATATTTCATAAATGGTTATGAGCATATGATGGGTTAAGGTCAATAATTTGTCTTTTGCTTGGAAGCCCAAGTATTTCATAATTCATATATACTTTATCTACTCATAAAAAAAAAAACAGCATTAGTTCTTCTGGAACTATATTAATACTATTGCATCTAGTTCTTTAGGAACTATATAATTTAAGAGGAATACGAAAGACAACTCTATTTCAATATATCATTAATATAACAACAAATAATTATAAGTATCACATATTTAACTTGCAAGACACATAGAGAACACACAAAAATGATGAAGAATATTTAAAATGGACTTTTAAAAGTAAAGTACAAAGAAGACTTAATGTTCAAAACTTCTCAATATTGATCAAAGTACTATAGACATTTAAAATATTCAAAACTAATATTGAATTAGATCATATAAATAAGATGTAAATAAACAAAATATAACTAGTAACTTTTGGGTCTATTTGATCTATTTAGTTTTATATCACAATATCAAATTCTTATAACAATTTGTTTCTCACAAATCACAATAAATTTAAAGACCGATAAAAATTAAACATTATACATATAACCTTCTAGGCATATACTTATATGTTTTTGATTTTTATATATACTTTAGGCATCTATCTTTCTTCACAACTTATTGGCTTTAGGCATTAGAATTAGCTTCAATATTTTCATAATATCACATGGTCTTTTTGATTCTACAACTATTTTTTTAACATTTGTTTTTCAATTAATTGATACACATTTGTCTATATGACTTCTGGTCATATTATAACATTTGTTCATAATTTTATCATATTGATCATAGGGCTATTACTAATTCTTCTGTTATGATTCAATAGTCAAGCCTCAAGATTATTGTCCTTTTAGTTATCAGTTCTACTAATACAATGTTATCATATTTTTTTATCACTCTTATGGATATATTTTTTGCTTTCAATAGCACACCATCAATTTTCTCAAATATTAGTCTTTCAGACTATAACAAAATTTTCAGAACTATGAAGTTCTTTTGTATCATTTCATTTTTAAACCATCAATCTTCAGGACTTTGATATAGATTATCAAATTATGACAATCTTGTCATGCCATCTGTTACTACCACAAGATAGTCTTTTATCAAATAATTATCAAAACGTGATGTGGCTTCTGGCATCTAATCCAAAATTAAGAGTACAATGGCTATTAGCCATTCGTTTATATATTTAACATTTTACTTTCTAAGACGACAATTAACCAATATCAGAGATGATAATCATATATAGTAATTTTATAGATGAACATAAACCTCATAGCAAATCAAGAAATATAAGGATAGTAGAATCATGAAAATATAAGAAAAGTAAGAAATAAAAATAAAAATTTTCATATATCAATATGATGAATAAAATATTCGATTGCCAATGAATTAATATGGTTAATATGCAAAACCATCATTTGCTCTAAATAAATTGGAGAAATCTTACCAAACTGTTCGGATCAAACTATCTTCATTCAACGAACAAAACATCAACGTGTATCAACTAGAAGCCATGAACTTAGATGGTAGAGTCTCATGCTGATAATGTGTTATAAAATGGATCCAAAATGAAACCACAAAAGTAGAATAGAGAAAGATAAAGACAAGAGAATGAGAGAACTTTTGTATTTCTTCACTTGCACTACAACACAATGGCATGCCTTATTTATAGGTATAGTCTTATACATAGGTTACAATTATCTTTAAATGACAAATAGTGGATAATTAATCCCATGAATGTAAATGGAGGTGAGTTACAAGAGTGAATGGATAATGGAGGAGTAGTGGATAGTAGAGAAGTAATGGATGGTGGAGATAGTGGAAGTTACTTGGAGAAGATGAAGATGAAAGGATAAATGGACATCCATATAATATTCATAACAAGGATCTTCATATTAGTTTTCCCTATCCATTCGGTAGAAAATTCAAAATTTATCACTAGACGTCAGGTCCCCTACTCCCCTTCGTGGCAGCTGCTGAAATAATGAAAGTATTGACTTGCCTGCCTCCTTGATTGTGCTTGACTAGAGTGTGACAGAAAAAAGAATTCTCATAAAAACTCATGGGTATATTTCAATAAACTTATTGATATGTTTCAATATTTTAGATCATGCCTTAAAAACAACTAAAAATAAGAAAAGAATATTAACAACTTTTTTTTAATAAAAAGTTCATATAATAAAGAAATATAAATGTATCAATTATAAGTTTTATATAAATGGAATATAAATTATAAATAACTATTAATACTTTAACTTAATAAAATAAGAAAAGTAAATAAATATTGCTCCTCCTATCCTTAATGTAAAACCCATTTAACTAATTTGATTAGATTAAGGAAGTTAGGTAAATTAGTTAATTATAAAAAAAGTGACACATTTTTCCTAAAACGCCATAATCATCTTTATTAATACCCCTCTCTCTCTTCTACTTAATTATGGTTGAGGAAATATCCATGGGGATAATTTAGAGAAAATTGATAAATATGAGAAATGGGTCTTATATTTAGGACCAAAACCAACTCAAGAATTGGGTCTTATATTAAGGACTGGAAGAGTATAAGTTTTTCTACAACACACACGCTCACCTTTTTTCTTTTTGGATACTTCCATTCATTTTCCAACAATTTGGTCTCCATTTCATTGACTGGGGTTAGCCTTCCATCACCATCATCGGCAAACACCTTCACACCCATTACAATAATTCTAATTCAAAACATACACGGCACCTATGTGATTTGTGTCTTTACAGCCATTGCAATAATGATTGCCTACTTTTGCATTCAAGCTTTATTTGTGGTGTCAAACTCCGCAATTTCATCTTTCTATGGGAACCTCTAAACCATATTAATCATCATTTTCTGTGAAATTTGGCCTAGCTAGGATGGTTGCTATCAATGAAAATGAGGGAAATACAAGGAGAATTGTTGGAACATAGTAAGTTGTATCTCCTCTCTCATCAACATTTACGTTTATCTTGATATTGTTGAATAAGGAAAAATAAGTTTTTCTTAGGTGACACCAGAAGGTTTGCCTTCAATGCATCACTTTGAGCGTCAAAATTAATCTTATCTTCTAATGGATTAAATTTCATTATTGATATATTATTTTCTTTTTTAGTGGTTATATGCCTTCAGAATATGTGATGTTTGGGCCATATTCTGAAAAATCATATGTTTCTAGCTTTGGAGTTATAGTTTTAGAAATTATCAGTGGAAAGAAAAATGCAAGTTGTCATGATGAATCACAGTATGCTGATAGCCTCTTGAGCTATGTAAGTTATGATAATTCGTTTATTTCATTAATATTTCTTATGCAATCATCCTCATTTGATGAATGATTGAAATAATGAGTTTTACTTAATTGTTGCAGACGTGGAATCCAGGGAGTAATGAAAAGTTGTTCGAGATGTTGGATTCAAATCTAAAAGAAATGGAATGTTATAATGAAGTAAGCCGCTGCATCCAAATTGGATTGTTGTGTGTTCAAAGGCATCCAGATTCAAGACCTTCCATGGCTACAATTGTTTCATATCTGAGCAATGATTCAATTCAATTGCCACATCCACGGCAACCTGCTTTCTTTTTGCGTGCTCGAAGGGTAATCACTTCTGCAAGTAGAGAATATAGCTCGATTAATGAAATGTCTATGAGTGATTTCTTTCCTCGCTAGTTCCCAACTATACAAGCCTGCTGTGTATTATTTCATCTTCATCTTGGACACCAAGCTCCATTGCGGGTAACATTTAAATAACATAATAAGAGTTTTTATTAGATGTGTATATTTTAATTACTTTTGTTTAATTTCATTGTGCATAATATATACGTGATCTTTTCTTTTTAAGACAACAATAGGTGTTGCTACTAGTTTATAAGCACATTCTGAAAAGTGCGGGTCAAATGATAATAGGGACGACCAGGAAAAGTTGTCATCAACAGGAGAAAATAATGAGAATAACACCCAACAAGAGCAAAACCAACGTTGGTTTAAACTCAAGGAAAAAGCTCATTGTTTTGTGTGGAAATATATACTCCTCCGGTCCTTAATATAAGACCCATTTAACTAATTTGATTAGATTAAGGAAGTTAGGTAAGTTAGTTAATTATAAAAAATGTGACATGTTTTTTCTAAAACACCATACTCATCTTTCTTAATATCTTTTCTCTCTCTTCTACTTGATTATGGTTGAGGGAACATCTATAGGGGTAATTTAGAGAAAATTAATAAATATGAGAAATGGGTCTTATATTTAAGACCAAAATCAACTCAATAATTGGGTCTTATATTAAAGACCGGAGGAGTATTACAAATTTCCATCAATGGCGAGCTACCTGACTACTCTAACTTATTGGCTTAAAGCTACACCATGTATCATTAGGAGCATCATCTGCTTCTAAACCCAATCCCAAGCTCACAACGTTGTCTCTGCAACCATTTTTAACCCTTCTTCTTCTGTAAATGCTGGCATCAACAAAACTAGCAAGGCCTCGAACATCAATCTGGGTCTCATCTCATGATCGGGACTATAGATAATATTATAAATTTCTCCGATATATCTTTTTACTGTTCTTTTTCCCATTTTGTGGAGCCTAGCTAGCTCCACACCTTCATAATTTGATCCATTCAAACACGGCTTCTAGTCTTCGGCACCACTAGGAAACAGATATATGCAGTGGAGCCACAATCATAACAATCGCTTGTGATTGACGACCTTTCGCCCTTGGATGAAGGTAAAACGTCAATAAAAATAATTCAACAATTATTAGCTTGTTTGACCAAGTCCATTAGAATCCATTTTCATACTTGTTTCTTCGTCTTTTTGTCGATAATACTACTGGATCATGTGCCGGCATCTTAATATCATGATTGCGTCACTGGTTGTTTTTTTTTTTTTGGGTCCGTATCTGATTAGTTCTTTGACTAAGAATTAATATCTTTAATTAGATGGGATAATTAATCTCTGGGTCTTTATAGTTTCATCTTATTTTTAATTAGGTCACTATAAAGTTTTTTTTTAATCATGTTCTTTTACTTTCACGTGTTTTTAATTAGGCCCCTTCATTTTTTTTATTAGGTCCTTATAGTTTCACTTATTTTTTAATAAGATCCGTTGTAGTTTTAAAAAAACTGTTTATTAACTTTATTCCTTAAAATTAATTTCATTTTAAATTAATAATTATATAATTGGATAAAATAATTAATATAATCATTTTGTAATTAATAATTAATCAGAATAATCAATTATACTTAACTATAAATTATTTATACTTATATTCTAATTTTAGAAAATTTTATTATTACAATTTGAATTTTATAATTATAAAAATTAGAATTGAAAAATAAATAATATATATGTTTAACTAAAAATTTAAAAGAATATTAATATAAGATTGTTATAATAATTTATTATTTATAGAATAAAGAATAAAAACTACAAAGACCTGATTAAAAATAAAGTAAAACAATAAGGACCTGATAAAAAAAAGTATAAGGACCTTATTAAAAACATATGAAAATATAAGGACTTGATAAAAGAAAAAAACAATTATAAGAACTTCATAAAAAATCGGTTGAAACGATAAGGTCTTGCATATTAATTATCTCTAATTAGATTATTGCTTATATATAATTCGGCAGAGACAGTATCAAGAAAGTTACTCTTAATAAGTTTATAATTAATGTATAGTTTGTTTAATCAACGCACTAGTTGCCAAGGATACCTGCACTGTGTAAACTAGTACCGAATTTTGACCCCTAAAAAAAAAAAAAACATACTAGTACCGGATGACGCCTTTTGGAGCCTTCTTCTTGGATGACACATTAGGATGCACCATAAACTAACATTACTCATTATTTGTTATCGAAAACAACACTTTCATTTAATTAATTTCTGAAAATTTAAAAGAAAAACTGAGGATGGACTATAATATTATGCTATATTATTTAATTTCAATGGCGTGTGTAGCTGAATTGGTTTTATTTGGAGCCATCTTATCAAAATATCTTTTAGGCAGATGCGTACGATGTATGTGTGCTTCAATATAATTAATAATGTCGTGTAGATGACAAGTCTTGGGGTTTTCTCTTTGGATGATACCTTATGATGTGCCATTAGCTAATTAATATTGCTCATTTATATGTCATTGAAAACAACATTTTCATTTTAATTTTATTTCTCAAAATAAAAAACTTGAGGATGGACTATCGGATCAAGTTGGATAGACTTTGGAGCCTTCTTTTTGGATGACACCTAATTAGGATGTGCCATTAACTAATATTCAAAACAACATTTTCTTTTAGTTTCCCAAAATAAAAAAAATTAAAGATGGACTATATAATTCCGCACTAGCTATATTATTTCATTTGCTGGTCAAGCTGAATTGGCTTTGGAGCATTCTCAAAAGATTTTCGAGGTCAACTGCCGTGTATGTACGCTTTAATTAAGAAAGTCGTGTGATAAATAGTTGGGAAAATAAGAATTTTTCTAATTATCAGATGAAAATGAACACATATTAATGTAACTATTTCAATATTATGAATGAATATTGGGTATTATGTTTGGAAAATGAACAAAAAAAGGGTATCATTAAAAGACAGAGAATAGAATGAATTACATCTTTATAATATGAATTAATTAAATACGTACGAAGACAATATCAATTTGTAATAAATCATTAATGAGATGGTAAAAACTGGGTATGATAGGATGGTTTTCCTGTATTTTTCTATGATATAATATAATGTATAAACAGTTAAAGGAAAAATAACTAGGTGAGAAAAAATCGCTTTTGGTTTATTATGAGTTTTTATTGAAATAAAAGTTTTGAATGGCGGTATTTTATTGATCTTTTGGTTTATTTGGATCCGCAGAATGACACGAGCAAGTGATGTTGCTGGTTTAAAAAAAAAAAAAAAGATGTTGGCTGTATTTTATTGATCTTTGGGAGTATTAATTTAAAAATTTCTGTGTGCGCTTCCATGAAATTGATAGCTATAGATGATCTAAAAAAATCTTTCTAGATCTTTAGTTAAAACAAAAACTGTAGAAAATTTTGGAATACTCATTTTTCCTTCCGAGATGACTGAAAGAAACCTGATAAGAAAGCAAAGCTTGACTTGGCCTTTGAGTTGCGTCAACCTTGTCTGTATCATCATCGGTTAAACTGACCCCCTTTCGCTGCCATTACGATGCCCTTGCTCCTCCGGCGGCCCACTTGCCATCAAAATTCACTTAATCATAAAATTAAACTCAAACTATAAAGCATTATCCTCATCTCAAACGCCATCAATAACATACCCTTCACCCTTAATTGTCATGACCTTCAACATTATAATTTTGTCACTCTTCTTCTTCATTGGCTTCCTCTTCAATTCTTCTTCTGCTCAAGTCATAGGTCGTAATGATCTTTACCCTCAGTGCTCCACCCGCAGTAACTTCACTGCCAATAGTACCTTCGACTCTAACCTCAAAACTCTCTTTTCTTCCTTAACTTCCAACAAAACCGCCAACCTCGACTTCTACAACACCACCGTTGGCCGCGGCGGCGAGACCATATACGGCCTCTTCATGTGCCGGGGTGACGTCAACCAAGACATATGCCGCCATTGCGTAGCTAACTCAACCCTACAGGTAGGTTCCGTATGCCGATTTTCGAAGGAGGCCGTAAACTGGCGCGATCAATGCTTGGTTCGCTATTCCGATCGCAACTTCTTCTCCACCGTCAATACGAGGCCTAGACTCCGAATGTTGAACCCTAACAATGTCTCGAATCAGGCAGGATTCATGAACGTATTGACGATTATTATGAACCAGACGGCGGATGAGGCTTCCAAGTCTGCCGTGATGAAGAAGAAGTTTAAGACGAACGCGGTGACGGTACAGTTTCAAACTCTGTACGTTCTGGTTCAGTGCACGCCTGACCTTTCGTCGGCGGATTGCAGAAGGTGTCTGAGCGGAGTGATTGGGGACTTCAGATGGTGTTGTGATGGGAAGATCGGAGGAAGAGTGCTATATCCAAGTTGCCTCGCTCGTTATGAGTTGTATCAGTTCTTTAATTCTTCAACGCCTCTTCGGCCAGTAACGCTGTCGCCTCCTCCGGCTCTACTTTCTCCTCCAAATCCTGGTAAGCTTCATAATTACATGCTTTTCTGATTTCTTTTTTCTAATTAACTAAATTAGAGTAAATCTATTCACGAAAAAGATTAATTACATACGCTGATTTTGGGACCAAAATAGTTATTTCAGAACACGACATTAAAGCAGAAGAACAGGGAATCTCTTCGCCCTTATAAATGCGCGCACACGGTGACTCGTATGATACCCACAAAAAAAAAAAATTATTGTTATTTTAAAAATTTTTGAGGGGTAGGGAGGTGGGAGGAGACTATTCGTCTATGAAATTACTATAAATGACAACAAAAAATAAATCACTATAAATATTATTTACAAAAACATATATACTTTCCATCTAATTATAAAATTTTGTTTTCAAAAGTCTCATGCTCATGACCAATTAATGATTTAGTTTCTTATAGATTTTTTTGTTGGGTATATGAAAGATACGTATATATAGATTGAGGACAGAGTCAAAGAAGTAAAAGAAATAATTTTAATTTTTGATGGAAGTAAAAGGTAGAAATTAAATAGCGTATCATTTTGTTCATAAAATAAAGACCCCGAAACTTATTAAGAAGTTTAAACGTATTTTTTCTGAAAAATATGTATTTGAGATATTTTAAAATATCAAGGGAGGAAGACGAAAATTTATAGGGGAAGCATTTATTCGCTGAAAGTAATAATCTTATTTTAAATATTTTAACATTTAAATTACTTAATAAATTTTATATCCACGAAAAGCCGGTCCCTGCAACTCAGTTTCGAATCATGAGTGAAGAGAATCATATGCGAATGCGAAAAGCAGAAACAACTTCGCTTTTGCCGATTTTGCGTTTTGGTGTTCCGCCGACGCCAGTTTGGGGTACTTCAAATGATTCATATTGGATTCTGTTCACACATGACTCAAAAAATTGACTTGCTTGGAGGTTAATAAAGACTCAAATGGCTTTTAGCTCTAGCTTCAATATATACGCTAATTATTTAGAGACATGGTGATAAGGAGTGACATTGAGACGCGGAAATATTCTATATACAGTAAAAAGGAAAAGGCGATTGAGGACTATTTTGATAGCTGTGGCTTCTCCTGTTGGTGCTATGATACTTTTATGCTTCGCCTACTATTTATCAAAGAATCAGATAAAGAAGATACGTATGGCTTTTCTCATGCGAAAGTACTGTAAGTAATTTTCATTCCATCTCTTCACTACTCACACAGTTTGTCTAGCTAGTTGGAGAGTGGCGATACTTCTCGTATGCTTTAATATCTTGGTTTATTTGTCTAGTTGGAAGCGAAAGCAACACTTTAGAGCCTCTGCAATTCAGTTTGGCTACGATTGAAGCAGCGACAAATAAGTTTTCAAAGCAAACTAGTTTAGGTCGGGGTGGATTTGGACAAGTTTACAAGGTGAGAAATGCTATCGATGTGTAAATATGATGATATTTATAGTATTGGTTATATTGTTTTCCTGTTTAATTTAATCAACTATGACTTCAGGGCATTCTTTCAAATGGCCAAGAGATAGCTGTAAAAAGACTTTCGAAAAGTTCTGGCCAAGGAGCAGAAGAATTTAAGAATGAAGTTTTGCTAATAGCCACGCTCCAGCATAGAAATCTGGTGGCCTTGCTGGGATTTTGCATAGAAGAGCAAGAGAAAATTCTCATTTATGAATATGTTCCCAACAAAAGTCTTGATTGCTTCCTGTTTGGTTAGACTCTTCTAAACTCATTTTAACTGTTATTAATCATTTGACATTCGCTCTCTCATATATGCTAAAGTTAATTACTTTTTTTCAATTATCTTTATTTAATTTGTCAGTCTAGTCATTAACGATAGCTTTATATATGTATAGGTTCTCAAGAAAGCAAAGTGTTAAATTGGCAGGAACGTCACAAAATTATCGGAGGAGTTGCTAGAGGAATTCTTTACCTTCATGACTATTCTCGAGTTAAAATTATACATCGTGATCTCAGACCTAGTAATATTTTGTTAGATGATGAAATAAATCCAAAAATTTCAGATTTTGACATGGCTAGGATGGTTGGATTCAATGAAATTGAAGGAAATACCAAAAAAATTGTTGGAACATAGTAAGTTATAAGGTTTTTCCTTCAAACTCTTTTACCTCTATCATGGTATGGTTGAATAAATAAAAATAAGCTTTTATGATAAGCGGACATAAAAGTTCGTCTTTCATTTTTTTTTCCCATTTGAAATGTCCAAATGTGTTGCTTGTTAGCTACCAGAAAAAGACTTATGATTGACATTTTTATTTTTCAGTGGTTATATGTCTCCAGAATATGTAATGTTTGGACAATATTCTGAAAAATCAGATACTTTTAGTTTCGGAGTGATAGTATTAGAAATTATTAGTGGAAAGAAGATCACAAGTTCTCCTTATCAATCTCATGGCCTCCTAAACTATGTAAGTTAATTATTGTAATGTGTTTATTACACTAATATTTCTTATGCAATTGTCTCAAACTTGAGAGAGATTATTTAACATATTGTGTGAGGTATTTAAAGGGTGGTGATTAAAATAGCTAAGTTTACTGAATTGTTGCAGGCTTGGAATCAGTGGAAGGAAGAAAAGGTATTAGAGATTTTGGATTCAAATCTAAGTGAATGTGAATCGTTGAATGAAGTGAACAAGTGCATCCAAATTGGGTTGTTATGCGTTCAAGAAAATCCAGAAGCAAGGCCTTCCATGGCTACAGTTGTTTCATATCTTAGCAATGATTCACTTCAATTGCCATTTCCACAAGAACCTGCTTTCTTTCTGGAGGGCCAAATGGAGCTTATTAATACTGAAAGTAAAGATTCTACTAACGAAATGTCTATAAGTGAATTCTATCCTCGGTAGGATGAGGCTTTTATTTCATCTTGTCCTTTGCCACCAAGACTCAATTTGGTACCTTGTTATTCAGAGAACAAGTATTTTTATGTTATTGTACCCAAATGATGAGATTCAACATAAATGGTAATGTTGATATTATTATTCAATAATATATTTTCCAATAAAAGGGTGATGATTAAAATAATTAGCTAGACTTAATTGTTACAGGCTTGTAATCGGTGGGGGGATGAAAAGTTGTCAGAGATATAGGATTCAAGGATAAATATTTAATTCAGATTATATAATGAAGTGATTAGTACATCGTCGGGTTGTTTTGCATGCAAGAAAATCCAAATGCAAAGCCTTTGTGCCTGGCTACAATTGTTTTATATCACAGCAATTATTTAACTCAGTTGTCACTTCCAGAGCAACTTTTTTTTTTCCCAATCGTCAAATGGAGCTTACCAATTGATTTGTAAGTAAAGAATCATGCTCTACAAATGAAGTCTCGTTGAGTGAATTTTTTCCTCACCAGTACAATCCTTTTATTTCTGCTTTTTTTAAACACAGATGCTCTGTTTGGTATCTACGAGATAAAAGTATTGCACAAATTAAATACAAAGATAGAGCCTCTTAAATGGATGGCAGAAGAAAAAAGGGGCCAAAAACAAATCCAAATCTGAAATGGTCAAATTTATATTGTTATTGCACAAATATTTTAAAAACAAAATACAAACCATCAATTCCCAGAGTAGAGAAAAACAAAAGTTGAAGTCTGATCTACTCCGATCTAACGAGGAAATAGTGTACTCTTCGACATTTCATTGATGGAATATTGATTGTGGTTGGCAAGCTGACCCTCCATACTTGTAGTGGTTGCTACTGGTTCCATTTGACTATGTATGAAGAATGCTGGCTCTTGAGGAATTGGTAGTTGAATTGAATCATTACTTAGATATTGAACAACTTCATTCATGGAAGGCCTTACTTCTGGATTTCCTTGAACACACAACAAGCCGATATGGACGCATCTGATTATTTCACTGTGTGACCCAGCTTCCGTCAGATTTGGATCCAACATCTCTATCAATTTTTCGTCCCTCCAATGCTTCCAAGCCTGCCATTATGTCAAATCATTAATTCAAAATAGGGCCCCTGCTATTAATTTGATTATAGAATATTGTTAACATAAGCTCCAATGACTGCCTTGATGCTTGTAAATATGACCACGACGAAAGGTATGAGATGATTATTTGAGAAAAATTGAAAGTTTCATACTCACATTACTTAATAGTCCATCAGCATATTGAGATTCAGGATATTGACGATGAGAATTTATATTCTTCTTTCCACTAATGATTTCTAAAACCATCACCCCAAAGCTGAAAACATCTGATTTTTCAGAAAATAGTCCAAACTTAATATATTCTGGAGACATATAACCCCTGCAATAAATATATAAAATAACAAATAAATATATCAATATATCTTAGAATATTAGCACCAATCAATTTGAGCAAAATCTTATGCTAGTATTTAAATTCAATAGCAAAGTACACATGCAAGATACACATGTACCTCTAGAGAAAGACAAAAATAGAAGAAAACGAGAGAAAGAACTTACAATGTTCCAACAATTCTATTTGTGTTTCCCCTAGTTTCATTAATGCCAACCATTCTTGCAAGGCCAAAATCAGAAATTTTTGGATTCATCTCATCATCTAACAATATGTTGCTAGGTTTGAGATCTCGATGTATTACTTTAAGACGTGAATGTTCATGGAGATAAAGAATTCCTCGAGCAATTCCTCCTATAATTTTATGACACTCAAGCCATTTTAACGTTCTTGGCTTTTGTGAACCTATTCATAATTAAATTACTTTATGAGTATTGAATTGAATGACAGGTACATTCACCTCCAAGAGTAATGAAAGAATAGATAGTACTACTTTTAGTCCTAATTATAAGACCTCGTTTGTAGTCTACAAACAATGTCTTATAACTAGAACTAGAGGTAGTGTATGAATTAAAAAAATTGAAAAAAATGGAGAGACAAACCAAATAAAAAGTAATCCAGACTCTTGTTGGGAACATATTCATAAACAAGTATTTTTTCTTCGTCTTTCAGGCAAAATCCTAATAGTGCCACCAGGTTTCTATGTTGAAGTTTGGCAATTAATAGAACCTCATTCTTGAATTCTAATAAGCCCTGACTAGAATTTTCTGACAATCTCTTTACAGCTATTTTGCTGCCATCGGGAAGAATGCCCTGAAATCATAAATAGTCAGACAATGAGGGGGTGGGAAATACTTGCAATTAATGATATACACAAGCACACACGTGGATTTGATCGCATAATTAAGTTACCTTGAAGACTTCTCCAAATCCACCTTTGCCTATTCTATTTTCAGTTGAGAACTTATCTGTTGCAGCTTCAATTGTTGCCAAATTGAACTGCAATGACTCTAACATGGCTCCTTCACTTCCAACTATAGATATAGGTACATTTCAAGGTAAGTACACTACAACAACATAGTTTTTCTCACAGTTGACTGAGTTTTCTTTCTTGTTTTTTCAAGGGAAGAAAAAAAAAAGCATACATACAGTTTTTCTTCAGAATCTCCTTATAGCTCTTGCTCCTTTTTCTCTGCCAGTAATAGTAGCCGAAACAAAGGAGCATGATTGAGCCAATAGTGACAGACACCACCGCTATTATAATTGTTCGTGAGTGGTCGTTATCTTCTCCTGAGTAAATTAAATGGGTGTGTACATTCCACAGACAAGAAATGGAGAAGATTTGTGAGCACAAAATTGAGAGCGAATTAAGAATATCAATTTGCATTTAGTTAACTATATCTCTGTAAGAAAAATGATTAGATCGCAATTACTTTACCTGGATTTCCTGGGGGACCTGTATCATCTGGGGGATACGCAGGTGGCACCGAAACAACATTTTTACTGTCATTATAAAATATGTACGATTCAAACCTCAAGTTGCAGCTAGGATTCATGACCTGTCCTCCTTTCTTTGCAGAACAACATGACATGATATTTTGCAAAGCACCTTGTAGACATTTTCTGCAGTCTTGGCTGGACAGGTTTGGAGTACATTGTGCAAGAGTATACAACGTTTTCAACTCTAAATCGCTGGATTTTGTGTTTGTCTCAAAATTTTTCACTCCTACACTCTCTGATGAGTTCGTCGTTGCCGCCACTAGATCATTCAATGTATTCCCTAACAGCCGATTGAAGGTCTTTGTTTCGTTTTCAAGCATATCCCCACCGGGTTTTGTATATACAGGCAGTGTGTCCAGGGTAGAGAGGAAAAAGCGATTGGAATAGCGAAGCATACACAAATCATACCATATGATAGCCTCCTTTGAATTGGGACACGAAAAGTTTAGTTGCTCGATTCCCTCATTGACGCATTCATGGCAGAGCTCAAGGGGCACATCTCCCCGACACATGAAGAGGCCGTTGATGGTGTCCGGCTTGTTTCCGACGCTGGTGCTGTAGAATCCTTTGTTTTTGGTGTCGTTGGATGCCTTGGAGAGTTGTTGAGTGAGATTTCTGAGGTTGTTTAGGTACTGATCGTCGGCTTCGGTGGTCGAGCAGTTGCTGCCTGTAAGATCAGGACGTCCAAGCCCTGTTTAACAACAGAAACAAATTGTTCAGGATTAAGTCATTTTTTTTGGGCACAGAAAGGGGCCGAAGCCCAAAAACATCAAATAAAAACCAAGACCAAAAGAAAAGTCAAAAGCTCATCCCGCCTCCTTCCAGGTCCATGCCTGTTTGTCAACCTCAAAAGCTTCTGCTATTTCTGTAGGTATGTCTTCAAACACGCGTTGAGTCTCCCTCCAGTGAAAATGACCAAAATTAACTAAATAAATAAATTCGCAAAAATGTATCTCTCCTTTGACTTTAATCCTTAGTTTGTAAAATGCAAATCAGTAACAACAATTCAAAGTTTGCGTGTATATAAATTTAAGGGATAATTAATATATAAGTCCTTATAGTTTCAACTGGTTTTTAATTAGGTCCTTATAATTTTTTTTCTTTTTTTCAGGTCCTTATACTTTCATGTATTTTTAATCAAGTCCTTATAATTTTTTTTCTTTTTATCAGGTCCTTATTGTTTTACTTTGTTTTTAATTAGATCCTTGTAGTTTTTATTCTTTACTTTACAAATAATAAAATTTTAAAAATAATAAATTATTGTAACAATCTTATGTTAATGTTCTTTTAAATTTTTAGTTAAACAAATATATTATTTATTTTCAATTCGAATTTTTATAATTATAAAATTCAAATTATAATAATAAATTTTTCTAAAATTAAAATATGATTATAAATAATTTATATTTAAGTATAATTATTATTCTGATTATTTATTAATTACTAAATGATTATATTAATTATTTTGTCCAATTATATAATTATTAATTTAAAAATGAAATTAATTTTAAAGAATAAAGTTAATAAATAATTTTTTAAAAACTACAAAGCACCTAATTAAAAAATAAGCGAAACTATAAGGACCTGATAAAAAGAAAAAAAAATAGAAGGACCTGATTAAAAACACATGAAAGTAAAAGGATATGATAAAAAGAAAAAATTTTATAAGGACCTAATTAAAAATCAGATGAAACTATAAGGACCTGAAGATTAATTATCCCTAAATTTAATACTCCTCTTATCCTTAATGTGAGATATAATTGACTAATTTTAATAGATTAAGAATATTGATTAAATTAATTAATACTATTTTTTTAAAACACTTTAAGTATCTTTTTTAATTTTCTTCCTCCCTCTCCTATTTAATTATTGTGAGGAGAATATCAACAGAATTAATTTGAAAAAAAATTGATAAGATCTTATATATAAAATCAATGTTAACTCTTTAATTAGGTCTTATAAGGATTGAAGGAGTACTAAGCAAACATATAATCAATCCCCACAAAAACACCAAGTTATCGTGGGTAACAAATTATGTAATTTTTATGAAAATCAAAATTGATTGCTTTAATGTTGGAATGTGAGATTGAAAAGAACGCGTGACACGGTGACAGAAAAACCATATGGAAAAGCTTTTCAATATCTTTTCGTGGGGTCTCGATGATAATAGTTACCGTGCATTCCCTAAAAGAGAAGAGGAAAACGGTATTGATATTTATTCTTTTTTTATTTTTAATTTGGTATATATGTTTTTCTCTCTCAATTAAATCATTTAATTTTATTTTTTTTAGTAATATTAGCTCCTATAACTTTATTCTATTAGCATTTCTAGTTTTTATACAAGAGTTAATGAATAAAGCAAATTAAATTAAAGACTTAATTAAAAGAAAAAACACATAAATAATAAATTGAAAATTGAAAAACGTGAAGGGAATCTCTTTCTCCTCATCTTCTTCTCCTTGTTTTTCTTTTGATGCCGTGCAAAGAAAAGCAAAGAAAGAAAATAGTGACATCACCTTCAGATGCAGTGGAGGGAGGCTGGTCGCCCTTGTAATAAAATCGGTCTTCTCCGAATCTCAAACCGCAGCTCGGATTCTGAATTCTTCCTCTGCGTGTAGTATTTTCTTTTGGAAGAAGATTCATGATGCCATATAGACACTTGCTGCAGAATTGTTGGGACAGATTCGGCGTGCACTGTACAAGAGTGTACAGCGATCCCCCACTAAAGTTTGCTTCTTTCGCTGCAAATTTCTTGGCACCTGACGTTGCTGCCTCCACCACCGCATCATTCAACGTCTTATTTAATTCTGCGTATGCCTCTGGGTTTGAATTATTCCTTGTCGGCCTCACGTCCTCCATCCTTGTTTGATTTCTGTCATATGGATGGGATGGAATCTGGCTGCATGATGATGATGGGTTAAGAGTACAGCTGGTTATCGGGACCACGTCCACCAACCGGCTGCTAACTCTAGGCAGTTGATCGAGGGTGGAGAAGAAAGAACGATCGGAATAGCGGAGGGAGCACTGGTCGTACCAGATGACTGCCTCTTTGTTGTAGGGACATTCTGAGGCTATTCGATTTATGGCATCCTGAACGCAATCTCGACAGACCTGAATGGGGACGTCACCTCGGCACATGAACTCGCCATATACGACGTCGGCATAGCTGGTGTTGAAAAATTCGGGAGTATCACCGCCGGCGGCCTTTTTATACAAGATACCGAAGAGAGTGTTAAGGTTGAACTGGTAGGGGCTATTGGAAGTGAAGTTTTTATTGGTTGTGCAGTTGTGGTCAAAGTAAGCAGGGCTGTCAACTTCAGAAGAAGCCAGATCGAAGGAGGAGAGAAGCAGAAAGCAGGATAGCAGTTTCAGAAATGGCATATCCATCTTCCTGCCCAATGCTTCTGCGTGCGTCTTCACGGCTTCAGCTAAATAAAGTTGTCACGCGGTTGGACCTCTAACGCTACAACCGCATCTTCCCTGTTCTTCCCTTCTCATTATTGTTACTATTATTTTCCTACTGATTCTTAAGTTTTAAATGAAACGAGAAGTACTTTCTATTGTTTATATATGATATTCCCCCCCCCCCCAAAAAAAAGCCAATTTATGTTCTTTGTAAAATATTAAAATTACAAAACTGAAACATTTCATGAGCAGTAATATATCATAATGTCTTCCATTTCACATGCAGAATAAAGCTGATAATAAAAGGCAAAAGGGGAAAAGGACCAAATTAGAAAGATAGGGGTATTAAAGGCGTGGGCCATTAGAGGCCAGTAATTATTCACGGAAGCGGAATTTCCGGATGATTTTCATTTGCCAATGTGAAAAGGTTCACGATGCCAAGACTTTGCCAATGATTTCCATATTGAGTGTTTTTGGATCCAAAAAGGCAAGAACCAAGATTTATGATTTACAAAACAAGAGGAGACAAGAGAGAGAGAGCAGTTAAGATGCTGTGTTTTTACCGGTTTTAATTTGAAGCAAGTATAGCATTTAGGATCATGATCTTTCTCATGTAAGAAATCAGCACATTAGATGACAGTCCGAGTAATCATATTCTTTACCCTCAATGGATGATTAGTTCTGCCATCTACCATTACAAATTAATGGAAGAAGTGTTTTGCAGTAATTGAAGAAGGAAGTGTAAGCGAGGACCTTGTTGCAGCCATTGCTTACAAAGATAAGAAAACTTATATTGTCCACAAAAATAAAGGGCAATAAGACGATTCATATTCATAATGCACCGTCATTTTTAGCAATGTCTCACCACCAAAAAAAATGAAAAAGGTGGAAAAATCAATCACCAAAGCTTATTATAAGCAATTGAGAACACACACGCACACACTTATATATAAGAAAACCAACGTAGCCTCTTAATGGACATCAGAATAAAACAGGGGGCCGATTGAAAAAATAATCCAAATTTAAAACAACTAAATTGTTATTGTAATAGATTTTCATTCAAAGACTACTAAGGAGAAATGTTCAGCTAAGAATAATAAATTCAATTTAAATTCTAGTTATTAGTTTTTTTACCACATATATAATGCCTCCGATTTTAATTATAAAATTTACTTTGTAATATGATTTACACTACAAACTAGCTAGATCTTACAGTTAGAGTTTTTCCCCCAAATATCTGTTTTAGGTATGCGTAACTTTCTTGAATTATACGTTGGCAAAAAAATTCTTGAGTTACGGGTAAAAAAAATTTCAAAATGCATGAAATTGAATGATTGATGATAACAGATGAAAACTCAAAATATATACATTGGTTTAGTTATTTACACTTGTGCCATTTTAGATTTAGGAGGTGTTTGAATGAAAATCAAAGAGTAATTTTAAAAATAATTTTACAGTATACCAAATAAATATATAAAAAAAATTATCTCAATTTATAAAAAAATATTTTTAAAAGTATTTTAGAGTGTTCCAAATATTTCCTTACATAGAAAATTCAAAATTTATCACTAGACGTCGGGTCCCTTACTCCCCTTCGTGGCAGCTGCTGAAATAACGAAGGGATTGACCTGCCTGCCCCCTTGATTGTGATTGACTAGAGCGTCACAGAAAAACGAATTCTCATAAAAAATCACTGGTATATTTCAATAAATTAGATTTTTCTTATGCCTTAAAAACAACTAAAAATAAGAAAAGAATATTAACAACTTTTTTTTAATAAAAATTTCATATAATAAAGAAATATAAATGTATCAATTATAAGTTTTATATAAATGGAATATAAATCATAAATAAGTATTAATACTTTAATTTAATAAAATAGGAAAAATTAAATAAATATTATAAATTTTCTACAGCACACACGCACACGGACCTTTTTTCTTTTTGGATACTTCCATTCATTTTCCAACAGTTTGGTCTTCTCCATTTCATTGACTGGGGTTAGCCTTCCATCACCATCATCGGTCAACACCTTCACAGCCATTGCAATAATTCTAATTCAAAACATACACGCCACCTATGTGATTTATACCTCTACAGCCATTGCAATAATGATTACCTACTTTTGTATTCAAGCTTTATTTGTGGTGTGAAACTTTGCAATTTCATCTTTTTATCGGACTCCCTAACCACATTAGTCATAATTTTCAGCCAAACAAACATTCAACTTTGAAATATTTAACGGTCATGGATTTTTATCAGCTTTTAAAAATTTCATATGTATTTTTGCACTAAATGTTTGTTTATGATGCTAGATTCACATTGGAAAAAAATTCTTGAGTATATATTTACACATTAACCCTTTAATTTGAGTATGTGGAAGATCTTGTGGGTATTTGAGCATCATAGATTTTACAGGTGTTTGGGTACCATAAAATGTGTTTTTGAACGCATTTTTTCACAAATTGAGATAAACTCTTTTACATATTTATTTTGTATACTATAAAAATACTTTTAAAATCATAGTTTTGATTTTATCCAAATATCTCCTTTGTTTATACAATAATTGCTTCTGTGTTTTATTTTGAAATTTTGTTTTTCAGTTACAGGAATGACAAGATACAATGACATTTTAATTACTGGGCATATGAAGCGAAAGTATTGAATAAATACACTAAAAATCGAAAGGAATGGATCCTTAAAGTAATTAAACAATTAATTCAGAAACAAAATTTTAATTTTAATCATTTTCAAAAAACTTAAAAGTACTGGTGCATCTTGTGTGATAGCGGCCGGGGAACGACTCTGCCGTCTCTAGAGAAAATCCGGCCACTACGGCACCACCGCGGTAGATTTTTCCAATCTTCAGAGTTTCGATGTTTATTTTCCAAACGGACGGCCAAATGGAGCTTATTAACACCGAAAGTAAAGAATGAATCTATTAAAGAAATGTCTATAAGTGAATTCTATCCTCGGTAGTGCGCGGCTTTTATTTCTTCTTGTCGTTTGCCACCAAGACTCAATTTGGTACCTCACTAATTAGAGAACAAGTATTTTCATGTTATTCTGCCAAAATAAGGAGATTCAACATATATGGTAATCTTGATATTATTATTCAATACTACAATTTCCATTACTGTTATATTACCTCTAATCATAAATATAAAAGCTAGTTGATTAATTTGAGTAGATTAAGAAATTTAGTTACGTTAATTATTTGTAATAAATAGATATTATATTTTTTTAAAATATCATTGCTAATTAAATGTATTTGCTAGAACTACTATTATTACAAGGACTATTTATGAAAAAAATAAATATGAGAGACAAAGTAGACTAGAATCTCATATTTATAATTAGAATAAAAGTCAAAGGAACTCTTATATTAAGAACCGGAAGTAGTATTTATGACGACATTTGATGTTTCTCTGATCCAAATCTGCGGGAAAAAAAGAAGAAAAGAAAACTCTAATGATATGAGTTTCCCAGACTAGTCCCGAATGCGTACTGGTTTACTTTTTATTTCTGCTCCTTTTTGCATACATGGGTCTTTCTTTTATAGACGGAAAATCATTGACAATAAAATAAATAAACCAAATAAATCAAAGTTTCAGTTGCGAGACTTGCGGCTAAATCCAAGAAATCCACTAAATTCCTTATGACTCGTTCCCCACCAACGTCCAGCAACCTCGTGTTTTGTTTTTTTCCGCAAATATTATACCCACGTCTTCACGTTACTGTTCACGTGCATGTGAGTTACTACTCACGTGCCTGGGTGTAGTATATCCTCCTAGATCAAGGGTCCCCTTTCAACAAGGAACCACTCCTGTGGGTGCTTAAAATTGCAGGTGAGGAAATCGGGCTTGCCCAGCCTCTCTTGTAAACCACTTTGCGGCACTCGGTCGTTGACCCTTTTTTCCTATTCGAAAGGACTCTCTCGTTCCATGTCGAGTGGTGGTTGTCTTCTTTTCCAAGATGACATCTTCAGTTAACAGCGTCTCTCGTTGGTAGAGTAAGTCTTCCATGGAAGGCAGTATTTCATCAGGCTCCTCGTCGATCATGGATGGCTCAAAGAGCTTAAGATACTCAACATTAAGAACTGAATAGATATCCATATAAGGAGGGAGCTCAAGTTTGTAAGCATTATCTCCAACTTTCTGCAGCACTTTGAAAGGACCATAACGAATGGATTTCAACTTTTTCCCTTCACCCTTGAGCCGTTCCTTGCTTAAATGAAGCCAAACAAGGTCCCTAAGTCAAAATTAAAGTACTATATTTTTATGTAATTAAAAATTAATATCAGGGTGCTAAAACACACCAACAAAATAACATTACAGTACTAAATACACGTATTTAGAAAATAATATTAGGATATTAGATGTTATTTTATCCTCTTTTTTATTTTCTCGGCTTTATCCACTCAGATGAATTTGTCATTGCAAACGCTACAATTTTGTTCATGATCTTAATTTTACCTTGTGAGATAGATGAGTTAAAAATATGGATATTTTGTAATTTATAACTTAGTTGTATAATAATTAAACAAATAATCTATGATAAATAGTGTATTGTAGTGAAAGCTAAAACATTACACCCTAATGACGCCATTTGGATAAAGATAAACAGTGCGACTTTCTGGCAATGGATACCCTTAGACAAGCAGCAACCATAGCCATACATATATATATAAATGTATATAAATATAAATATATTTATTTATCTGTGCGTGCACACTTTGTACTTGTTGCTTTATGGAATTGTTTTCATATTTTATGTCAACAGATGCCTGCCCGTATATGCCAACATCATCCATCACACTTTGAAAGGACCATAACGAATGGGTTTTAATTTGAAGCAAGTATAGCATTTAGGATCATGAGCTTTCTCATGTAAGAAATCAGCACATTAGATGACAGTCCGAGTAATCATATTCTTGACCCTCAATGGATGATTAGTTCTGCCATCTACCATTATTATGGAAGAAGTGTTTTACAGTCATTGAAGAAGGGAGTGTAAGCGACGACCTTGTTGCAGCCATTGCTTACAAAGATAAGAAAACTTGTATTGTCCACAAAAATAAAGAGCAATATGACGATTCATAATCATAATGCACCGTCATTTTTAGTACTGTCTCGCCACCCAAAAAAAATCTGAAAAAGATGGAAAAATCAATCACAAAAGCTTATTATGGGCAATTGAGAATACACACACACACACTCCTATATAAGAAAACCAACATAGCCTCTTAATGGACATCAGAATAAAACAGGGGACCGAAAATAATCCAAATTCTAAATTGTTATTGTTCTAGATTTTCATTCAAAGACTATTAAGGAGAAATGTTCAGCTAAGAATAACAAATTCAATTTAAATTCTAGTTATTAGTTTTTTTGTCACATATATAG